TGTTCATCGATTTTGCTCGAGAGGGCCCAGTAATGTCTCCGTTTTTGGTTTTTTTTGAGACTTGTTACTGTGTTTGGCATATTGAATACCTCGCGGGTAGCTTGCCAGGCTTTGCAGCACGAGTGAGATACTCTCGGTAGCTTGCCGGGCTCTCCGAGAGATTTGGAGGAATCGAACCCGGCTTGGCTGGGCTGGCTGTTCGCAAGGCAAACGCCCTACCACTATGCTATCACTGAAATACAATTTGTGAGATCCCAGGGTCTCTAAGAAAACCAGGCAACACTGGAAATTTACATAAATTTAGGCATCTGGGACACCAATTCTGAGAAAGACTGAGAAAGCCAAACTTGCATACAAACTGAAAATGTCATGCTCATATATTGGGAAGGGCAGAGTTCTCTGCAGCCTGACTTGAGTTATTCTTTTCAGTAAGTTTGAGAGCGGCCAGAGAGATAGTGCAGTGGGTAGGGCACTAGCCTTGCACATCGCCAGAACCCCATATACCCCCTGAGCCCCACTAGAGGTGTGCCTTGAGCACTGCTAGGTATGGCCCCAGAATCAAAAATCAAAAAATAAATAATAATAGTTTGTGGTTTTAAGAATTTATATTGTGTGTTTCTTTGCTCCTCCGTATACCAATGATGGAGTTCTTTAAAAAGCACTTGCTAAGAATTCGTGGGATGAAACAGGTTAGCAATGATATTCTGGAAACTTCAGGAAGTAAACAATAGAAACTATCATTCCTGAAAGTTAATTCTAGGCAGAGGGATGATCTCTATCCTCTGTCTCTATCTCTCTGTGTATACACATATATGTATATATATATAATATATATATATATATTTCCCCCCAAGAACAAGAATGGTGGAGGGAAGATGCAATGGTGGGAAGGTGGGATTGGTGGTTGGAATATTAAATGCCTGTAACAAATCATCATGAACAACTCTGTAAACCACAGTGTTTATATAAAGCATAAGGAAAAATTTTTTGGAAAAAAAAAACAGAATAAAACATTCTTTAGTGAATGAAAATCACCTACCTGTATTTTTCATTGAGTTATATTTCAAAAAAATCATGGAGTTATATGATTAGTTGTATTGAGACAAAATCCCCAAATCAGTGATCTAAAACATGACGACCATGATTAATTTATTTTAAAAAATTGTTTTACAAATGCAGAGACTCTGCTTATAGGAGTCCTCTCCCACTTCCCCTCCCTCCCTCCCTCCTCCCTCCCTCTCTTCCTCCCTTGCCCCCTCTCTCCCTCTCTCTCTCTCTCCCCCACTCTTCCTCCCTCTCCCTCCCCCCCCCACACACACACCCCTGTTATGAAGGATCCAGGCAGCCAATTTCCACACATTTACCTCTACTGGCATAGAGACTGTGCAAAGGAGAGGCAGGTGTAGCAGAAAGCCAGGAGAACTTCCAGCAATCTCTCCGAACCTGAAGACAAGGGAAGGGGACTTGGCCCTGGCAAGAGACCCAGGAATTCGGGACAAATCCCATCAAAAAAAGATCCAAGGAGGAGTATGGGTGATGCTCAGCTCTGATCCACACTGGCCAGAGGGCAGAGCACAGGTGGGCCTACAGTAGAGGCTCCAGGATGCCATAAGACTGCAACTGTTAAGGGAATGGGTGGGAGGGGAACAGAGGGCGGGGCGGAGCAAGGCTGTGAACTGGTACTAACTGTCCATCCATACCAAGCTCTTGAGCACTATTGGAAGCCCATTATCTAATCTATAATGAAAAACTAATGAATTCGGTAAAATTAGAGTTCATGACCATTCCCCAAAGAAAAGATATTTACTTGATAAATTGTTCGGGAAAGAGGTGAGTTTTCCAAGTCTAAGGTGCTCAAAAGCAAAACAAAATGCCCAGAAGACACCCCAGCTAGAATAGCATGTGGTGAAAAATACCAAGTGTTGGCTCGTCAGGTGACACGTAATGGAAAGGTGCGGTATCTTGTGGGATGGGAAGGAGTAACTGCATCCTAACTGTAGGACCGAACATTATGTTCACTGCACTCTCATTTTCTGTTGGTAAAGTTCAAAGCCCTAAAGTAGTCTGGCTCTTACTATCTTTCTTAAGAAAAAAAAAGTCAAAAAAATTCACAAAAGGAGATGATACTAGCCTTAACATGTACTTGTCAATGTTATGGATATGGTCATAAAAAGCTATCTTTTAAAAAAGCAGAACAGAGACGTAATTTTTCAAATCTTAAAAATTTTAGAATGTTTGTAGAATGTTTCTAGGATGGAATATTAAAAATGATTCAATCGCCCCCCCCCCCCCCCCAAAAAAAAAGGCAGCCTGGAAAACAGCCGTGAGACGTCTAGAGCAGCAACAGAGTCTGATGGGGCACTGACAGACAGTAGAAAATTCCCAATTATAAGTAGAAAAGTAAGAATAGCTTCTCTCAGGCCAGGGTGATAGTACAGCAGGTAGGGCGTTTGCCTTGCACATGGCCAACCTGGGTTCAATTCCCAGCATCCCATACGGATCCTCAAGCGCCAGGAATCATTCCTGAATGCTGAGCACCACCACGTGTGACCCAAAAACAAAAGCTAAAACAATGAGTATCTCCTATCTCCTCCTTCCCCAGCTGCTGAGAAGAAAGGGAAAAAGTATATTAAAAAAAAAAAAAAACAGTCATCTGTTCTCGGGCACTCAGGTTTTTTCCAGATTCTGGCTATTGTAAAGAGTGCTGCAATGAACAAACAATTGCAGATGTCACTTCGACTATACTTTTTGGCCTCTCTGGGATATATTCCCAGGAGTGGTATTGCTGGGTGAAATGGGAGCTCAATTTCTAATTTTTTGAGAATCGTTCATACTGTTTTCCAAAAGGGCTGAACCAGTCGGCATTCCCACCAGCAGTGAAGGAGGCAGGGTGGGATGGGGGAGGTGGGGGGTGGGAGGGATACTGGGATTCGTGGTGGTGGGAAATGGGCACTGGTGGAGGGATGGGTATTTGATCACTGTATAATTGAAACCCAAGCACAAAAATGTGTAAGTCTACAACTGTACCTCATGATGTCTCACTAATAAAAATTTAAAAATAAATAAATAAAGGTAACCCTCTTAGGTTTTTCAGATAAAAAAAAAAAGAGAGAGAGAGAGAATTTGGGGCTGGAGAGATAGGACATCGGGAAGGGCAGTTGCATTGCATACAGCTGACCCAGCTTCCATCCCTGCACCGCATGTGGTCCCCTGAGCCTCATCGGGAGTGAGCACAGAGCCGGGAGTGATCCCTGAGCACAGAGCCAGGGGAAAGTCCTGAGCACTGCTGGGTATGGTCCAAAAACAACCAAAAAATTTACTTGAAAAACAATGAGTTTATTTCTGTAGCAATAACAGTCCGCTTCAGAAGAGGGCTGTATGGAAGACAGAGAAGTGACCAGACAAGCAAAGAAAAGCAGACGCTGAGCTCCAGCTGTTTGGGCTGAAAAAAACATAAATGAGACATTTAAAAAAGAACAAGGGGATGGTGGGGAGATGCTCCAAGGACCGCAGTACGGCTCTGCATCAGGGGCCCGGGGGTGCTGGCTGCGTGGAGCCCCCAGGACCCTCAGGAGGATCCCAAATAATCTCCACCCCCAATGCCAGGAGTGACTCCCCCCCCCAAAAAAAAAAAACAAAGACTGAAAGTGACTTGTCTGTATTTCTGCCCTCAGCGGAAGCAGGAGAGGAGCACCCAGCAGGGAGCCAGGGGATCGGCATGGGGGAGGTTGTGGGGTTATTTTGCTGCTCTGGGAGCTGAGTCACCAGTGGGAAGGAACACCACTTGCCTTGCACCACTTACGGCCCCCCAAGCCTCCAGCAGTGGTCCCGGGTGCAGAGCCAGGATAGAGTCTGAGCACTGCTGGGGGAGTTTCCAAACCAATAATAATGACAAGGGTCACTAATAATAATAATAATAATAATAATAATAATAAACAAAAAAACAGTGCAATGGGAGGTATTGACCTTGCACACTCCCAACCTGGTTTTGGACCCCAACAGCCCATACAGCCCCCAAGGCCATCAGGAGGGACCCCTGAGCACAGAGCCAAGAGGGAGCCCCAGACTGATGGACGTGGCCCAAGCTCGCTCGCTCTCTCTCTCTCTCTCCCTCTCTCTCTCTCTCACACACACACACACACACACACACACACACACACACACACACACAAAGTCACCAGGGTGCCTAAGGGTCTTCCCGACCAGACGTTCCAGCTGTGGGTCCCACCTGGGCATGCTGGGGGGGGGGGAGGGTTACAGGAGTCACCACCCTGTTTAGGCGCCTACCAATTTGGCGGTGACCCCAGCAGCACCGCCCCCTCTAGCCACCCTCTGCAGGGGGCAGGGATGGGGGCACTGAGGCGACAGGCCAAGCATCGCAGAGAGAAAGGCTCGGGGACCTACATGGTGCTTGCTTTTAGGCTTTTAATATCACAAAGCTCGAGCTGTCCAAGACTGGAAACAGGTGCCGGGAACCACCCGGGGTTCTGGAAAACACTAGAAATTGGCACGATGGTGGTGGTGATTGGGTTTGTCCTGGAGCTGGGAGCACTCGCCTTGCATGTCGCTGGCCAGGGCTCAATGCCCCAGAAGGCACAGGGTCCCCCAAGCCCCGCCAGGAGGTATCCCTGAGCTCCCCAGGAGGGACCTCTGAGCACCCTCAGGAGTGACTGTGATCCCTGAGCACAGAGCCAGGAGGGATCCCTGGGTGCAAAGCTAGGAGGAATCTCTGAGCCCTCAGGAGGGATGCCTGAGCACCCCAGGAGGGACCCTGAGCCCCCAGGAGGGACCCCTGAGCACAGAGCCAGAAGGAACCCCTGAGCCCAAGGAGGGATCCCTGAGCCCCCAGGAGGGACCCCCGAGCACAGAGCCAGAAGAGACCCCTGAGCTCCGAAGAGGGACCCCTGAGCCCCAGGATGGACCCCTGGGCTCCTAGCCGGCCCAGCAGGGTCATGGTCGGGTTCCCCTCCTGCCGCGGGCTGCGCCCCCTCTCCTCCTACGCTTGGCCGCAAACACGGGTTTGGCTGTCACCAGGCCGCGCGCCGCCGGCTCGTCGTCCTCCCCGCTCGAGCTGCTGGTGCTCCCGGCCCCAGCCCGTCTCGGGGGGCTCCGTGTGGGCACGGGGGGCGCGACCGACGGGGCGCGGCGACCGGCGTCCCTGTGGGGGCCCTCGTCAGAAGAAGAAGGGGACAGGCGGCCAGCCCCCAGGAAGCCACCGCGCGCCCGCTTGGCGCCCCGGGACCGCGGGCCGGGCTCGGGGTCGGGTTCGGGCTCGGGCTCGGCTTCGGCACCCTCCCGCTCTTTCCTCCGCAGGCAGGTCACGGCCCGGTCCAGCCGCCGGCTCCGGCTCCGGATGCCCTTGGCATCCCGCCGCTCCTGCTCCGCCACACGCAGGAAGGAGTCGATCCGGAGCTGCGTCTGCAAGAGATGGACACGCCGGGGGCCAAGGGCCGTCTACACCCCGCACCGCACAAGAGCCAAGGGCTGTCTACACCCTGCACTGCACAGGAGCCGGTGCAAAGGCCAGTCTATACCCTACACTGCACAGAAGCCAAGGGCCCGTCTACACCCTGCACTGCGCGGGAGCCTGTGCAAAGGGCTTGTCTACACCCTACATTCCACAGGAGCCAAGGGATGCCCACACCTGCACCTCGAGGAAGCCAAGGGCTTGTCTACACCCTGCACTGCACAGGAACTGGGTGGAGGCAAATGACCCATTTTACACTGCACACTGGATAGGGTGGAGGGGAAATGACCCATGTTAGACTCAAAACCAAGATCTTAACAGATTCATTCTCTCTTTCTGTGTGTCTCTCTGTCTCTGTCTCTCGTGACTCCCTCTCCCTGCATGTGGAGCCCCTCACACACCCTCAGAGACCCCCAGGTGTCCCGTCAGGAGGGCTCTGTGGAGCCTGTTTCTGCCCCCTGTTGGCTTCCTGCAGAACCTACTCTGGACAGTACCCTCAGTGCGCTCTGGACCCAGGCTCAAGCCCAGGCTACAGCTAGTCTGGGCCCACTTGGGTGGGTCCTGAGAACAGGAGGCAAAGAGGAGCAGCCCTCCCTCACCCCCTCCCCCCCACACAACCTGGCTGGGGTATGGGACTGCCCGCCTGGGGTGGCCTGGGTGTGGAGGTCGGTGTGGCCAAGTTCCCACTGTGTGGATCTAGTTAAACCTGGTTAGAGCAGGAGCCAGGAGCCGTCATCTGGTAGCGGGGCACTTGCCTTGCATAAGGCCAACTCAAGCTCCATCCCAGGCACCCCACCTGGTCCCCAGGGCACCACCAGCAGTGATCCCTGAGCACAGAGCCAGGAGGAAGCCCTGAGCACAGCCAGGTGTGGGCCCCAAACAAAACAAAGGCTACACTGGTAGATGGTGTCACCTTTGTTCTGCAGCTGAGACACAAGCCTGGGCAGTGGGCAGGCTGTGGGCAAGCCCTTATTCCTTCCCCTTCTGCCTGCAGCCTCCAGGCTGGCCCTGTTCCCGTGAAGTCCCTGTCTAACAGCCAAAAGTGAATGGCAGGGGCTAGAGTGATAGTACAGTGGGTAGGGCGTTTGCCTTGCACACGGCCAACCTGGGTTTGATTCCTAGTATCCCATATGATCCCATGAGCACTGCCAGGAGTAATTCCTAAGTGCAGAGCCAGGAGTAACCCCTGTGCATCGCCGGGTGTGACCCAAAAAAGAAAAAAAAATGCATGGCATTACAACCCCTCCTCTGGCGGCTCAACAGGGGCCTCCCTGGCCCACACAAGCACTGGGACACGAGTGAGACCAAGACTGGCTTTTGCTGGGAAAACCCAAAAAAGAGGATACACTCTTAAGCGGCACCTGGGTGGTTGGATGGGTGGCGGTAGGGGGGAGGTACAAGCCTGGGGTCCACCCCTGCCTGGTTCGTGGGAAGTCAACAGTGAACGGGCCAGACAGTGACCCCGTGGGGGAGACTGGGGACATGGGACAGGCTCTTTCTCCTGAAATCTCTCCCACAGAAATGGGGTGACTGACTGTGACTTGGGGGGTTTGCCTGCAGAGTCCCCATGAATGCTGATACTTTCCAAGACCCTCACAACAAAGACTGGCCTGGACAGGAGGCTCCCAGCTGGAGGACAGGCAGAGGATCGGATTAATCTATGGGTGACCAGCAGCTCAGCATGCACTGATGATCGAAGGGTTCTACCCCTCCCCCCGCCAGGAAAGAATGACTCAAAAGGATGCCAAAGCCTGTCCCTGAGCTGACATCGGAACCGAAGGCCAAGGCAAGCGTTCTCTCTCCCACATCCTGCTTTCTGTCCCTGGTGCACAATCACGCCATGATAATTGAGGTGCCCGTAAGTGAAGAGTGGCTGCCTCTGAGCCCTCCTGGTGCCGGGGGGGAGGCCCCTGGGTACCTGCTGGGCGTTCAGCTGCTTCAGCACCGGGAGCAGGGATTCGTCCGTCTTGGTCCTGCTCCAGCCGAAGTAGCGCTGACAGAATGTGCCGGCAGTTAAGGCCTGTCTGGGTTTCAGGAGTCCCCGGGGCAAGCGACAAGGAGAGAAGGCCAACGACCACCCAACCCCCTCCTCCAATTCCACGCCCCGTATCTCCAGAGTTTTCTCATGTTTTATAAATGCTACTGCTTTTAAAAACAAAAGTGGTTAAAAAAAAAAAAAACAAATTACGCCAACATATTCCCAGTTGCCTGACTTCTGTGTTTGTGCTAGGGTAACCCACAGTGCTCAGTGATTGAGATAATACCCACAGTGCTCAGATGCTGGGGTAACACCCAGTTCAGTTGCTGGGGTAACACCAGCAACGACTACCATGCTTCACCCTCACCCTTCTGTACTCTCCTGAATAACCTCTAGGAAAACTCATGCCTCATTTATTTTAGGAAATCAAAGATTAGGGATTAATTTTTAAAATAATTTTAAAAAGTTATCCTAAAATAAGAGCATGTTTCAACTACTATATAGCTATCACTTAGAGGGGGAAAAAATTATATCACTAGATCAAGTCTACTGCAAACTTTTAAATCTCTATCCAAATTGACTATTTAAATATGCAGAAAGACATACAGAGAAATGAAAAGAACAAAAGGAAGCAGCTTTTCTATTTTGAAGTAACAACTCGGCAGGCGGTGGTGTGCACCAACGCTTTGCTACTACTCATTTCAGATCAAGATGCTCTTAAAAACAATGATGAAGAGGGCCACGAGCGAGAGGATGATGGGCAGGATGCTGGCCTGGGCACCGCCAGGAGTGATTCCTGAGCACAGAGCAGGAGGAACCCGGGTATAGCACCAAACCAAACAAACAAACCAAAAAAAAAAAAAAAAGAGGATGATGGATCATTTCTAAACATAGGCCAGCCTGGAAGCAGCTCAGGCTCAGGTGCGTGTGAAGCTCTGGTGGCGCAACTGGGTCCTGGAAGGAAGAACATCCTGACACGGGAACCACCCGCGGCCTCAGGTGCTCGCTGAGAACCCAACAGACCCGGCGTCCCCGCTGCCCACAACTGGCAGCCGGTACTAACCACGGGCTGAAAGGGGGACCCTGCAGGGGTGGGGTGCTGCGATCACGAACACGCAGAACCATCACTAAGATGAGCTGCATCATCCACTGCAAATCACAGAACCTCGATCAGTTGAGAGAGTTGGAACATGAATAATAATAATAATAATAATAATAATAAAAACCCTGAAGAAAATATTCCCAAATTGTGCAAACAGACCCAAGCCTTGCCAGAATGTGCAGGGAGGTGCCGGGTGGGCAGGCGGTGCCCCGGAGCACCCTCTGGGCAGCACCCGAGGGACCTGTGCAGGGAGGGGAGGGGGCGCGGCAGGGAAACGAGCATGCGGGATCTGCAAGGGAGAGGCGCGAAGGGACAGTCTCGCCGCAGGGGTCAGGACAAGGATATTCCCGGATCCGGTCCAGGTCGGGCCTGCCCCAGAGGAAGGCGCCCGTGGACTCGTCCACCACGGGCCGCAGGTAGGCGTCGGCCACGGCGGGGTCGGGGAAGCCGGGCGCCAGGTGCAGCGTGCGCAGCTTCTTCTTGACACGCGTGTCGCGTGGGTCGGGCCGCACCTTCTGGCTCTGCTGGGCCTCGCGCCACCACTCCCTGCAGGGACAGAGTAGACATGGATCAGGGCCAGGGGGCGACACCCCGGTCACCACGGGAAGAGGATGCCCAGGCCTGGACACGCCCCCTGCGCTGGGCATCCAGGGTCCTCAGTCCCTGAAGGCTACCATGGCCCTGGGCTCCGCACTGGGGGCGCAGAGGCCTGACCCCGTGAGATCCTGCGCCATGAATGGTTTCCCCAGAACTGCCCAGCCCAATCAGACTGGCTCCAGGGATGGTGCCCCCCCCACCCAGAACCACCTGATCCAATTAGATTTGGAGCCACAAATGGTCACCCCCCGCCCCAGCCCGACCCAGTTCGATCCCAGCACCAGATATGGTCTGGTTCCTCTGGAACCACCAAACTCAGTTAGATCCTGGTGCCAGGTATGGCCCCTCCAGAACTGCCAGACCCAGTTAGCTGCAGCATAACGTGTGTCCCCCCCCACCCCAGCCCAACCCAGTTAGATCCAGCACCACACATGCACCCCCCTTCCCACCCCCCAAGGGCAAGTATGCCAGATATTTTTTGAGGTCCAAATCAGGGTCTGGGATGGAGCAAGGCCCCAGGGCACAGTCTGGGCTGGAGGGCACAGAGCGTGGCCTGTCATGGGCCTTCCTACCAGTCTCTACACTCACGAGAACTTCAGGAGAGGCTCCAGGCCGCGCCCCGGGAACTCGTTGAGGATCTCCATGGCCGTGACACAGCCCACGCTGGGGACACCTTCTGTATAGTCGCTTCCCAGCAGGTACGCCAGGTTGATTAGTTTGCTCCGGTCCAACCCTACAGGCGTGAAAATATTTTGCCACTTGCCAATCGTGCTCCCAGGCCAGGGTGATGACTTGGTTGCTCTGTTTCCTCCATGGAGACCCAGTGCAGACCTCCCTGACCAGCCCTCGGTCACTTCTGGGTTCCAGAGGACTCTTGCTCCACTTGCTGTCCACTCGGGTCCCCTGTCCTCAACCGGGTCTCTCCTGCCAGCCGGCGAGTCTCTGTAGGCACGACTGGCACTTGGGAATCCCTCGACCTGTGGCCCTAACAGGCACAAAGATAGAGACTCGACCAGAAATGCCAGGGCAAGCCATGAGGCTCCAGGCCCCAGATGGGACATGCCCACTTGGGTTCACTCTGGACATCTCAGGTGACCTTGTCTGACCAGGTCTTGTGACTAAACTGCAGAAAACACCAGGCCTTTAACTCTGTGTGTGTATGTGAGTGTGACTTGGGGGCCACACCCAGTGGTGCTCAGGGCTCACTCCTGGCAGTGCTCAGAGGACCACCTGGGGTGCTGAGGCTCAAACCCAGGTCAGGCATGTGCCAGGCAAATGCCCTGACCACTGTCCTATCACTCTGGATGGATTTTAATTTCTGGATTCTACTCTAAAGATCTTATTCCTCTACGGAAGGAAAAACAAACAAAAAAACAAGACCACTTCCTTTCAACGAGTACCTGCACCGACCCCCTCCCTTTCAGACACAAAGCAAGTGAGCTCCTTGCAAAAGACCAACCCCCGAGGTGAACGCCAGGGAATCATCACAATTCAAGCCTTACCCAACTGGTTGTGGAAGTCCACGTACTGGTAATATTCCACAAACTTGTTTTTATTAAAAAAGTTTTTGTAGACGTGCCGGGCCCCAAACAGCCAGATATCACTGTCGTCTGTGATGGTTCCGGAAGTCTGGTCGGTGAGATCCAGGAGGGCGCACTGTGCCTCCGCCTCCATGGGGGCCTCGATGTAGGGGACACCGAAGAGACGCAGAAGTTCCTGCAGAGTCAAAGGTAGGATGTGAATTTGATGACCGTGAACGCCCTCCTTCGCCGGCAGAGGGCGCAGTGCCACACACAGGCCAGGAGCTCTGCAGTGATGCATGGTCCCGCCTTCACCAGCAGGGGGAGCAGAGCCACCACCACCGGATAAACTCCAGCAGTGCACACACCTGCCTTCACCAGCAGGGGGAGCAGTGCCACAGACACCATGAGCCCTGCAGTGGGACACTCCTCCTTCACCAGCAGGAGGAGCTGTGCCACAGACACCATAAACTCTAGCAGTGCACACGCCCACCTTCACCGGTAGGGGGAGCAGAGTCACAGACACTATGAGCTCTGCAGCGGCGCACTCCTGCTCCTTCACCAGCAGGGGGAGCCGTGCCAGACACCTCCCCCCCAGGGTAATCTAAGGAAAACAGGGGGTGCTGGGGGTCCCCACCTGACTCTCCAGGAACATCTGCGCCGTCACGGAGGCTGCCATCCGCTCCTGGTGCTGCTTTTGAGCTTTCAGTTCGTTCTGTTGGGCTAAAAGGTCATTCTCCAGGGTTTCCAGCTCCTCCTAGAAAATAATTTCACCTGCTGACTATTAGGTGAATAAGGCAACCAAGGGCCCTGGTCATTGTCATAATCTCGGTTAAGGGGCGACTCCTAGTACTGTTCAGGGCTCACCTCAAGGCAAACGCCTTATAACTGGACTGTCTCTCCAGTCACTAAGGGCACTTGTTATGCATCTGCATTTAGTCTGATGTCATCAACTGGCTTTTTCTGCCCAGCAAGCTTTCCGCAGGGGCTTCTGAGCAAGCCTCAAGCCTCTCGAGGCTCCCTTGCGAAGCCACGTGGAAAGTGGAGCCAGACTCCAGACACACGAGAAGAGCACCAGCAAGATGCAGAGATTCGAGCAACTGCTGTTAAGTACTCCCCTGGGAACCCATACCACCAAAAGCCTGCCACTGAGCGAGGCTGCCTGAGCAAGTGACGGGGAGTCCCTGTGTTACCAAATCAATATCCTGCCATTCATTGGGTGACTCGTGTGCGTCTCCTTCAGCCTCGTTGGGTGTCTTGGGTGAGTCGATATCCGAGGCCTGGCCTTCAGAGCTGCCCTGGGGAAGGCCCTCAGAGTCCATGGAGTCTTCATCCCCCTGAGGGGCCGGAGCCGCCCCTTCCTCTGGTTCAGAGGAGGAGCTGGAGCTGGAGCTGGAGCTGGAGCTGGCATGCAGCTCAGCTTGAAGCTCATCGTTTTCAACGACACTCTCCACTTCAATGAAGCTGCCTGCACCAAAGTAAGAAGGTCCCTTTATCTGCGGGTGAAGCATCAAGATTCCCCAAGAATCAGGAGCTCCCTGCAGGTCCCCAAGGTGCCAGAGTCCTGGAAAAGACCTGGGTGTAACTGAAAACATGGGACGGAGTCCTGGAAAAGACCTGGATGTAACTGAAAACATTGGACAGCGACAGACATCTGGTACCAAAATAGCCCTGTCCACTCTGCACAGGGAGCTGTCTTTGCAGCAACAAGCAAACACATCTGACAACAGCCCAAGGCGAGGTGGTGGTCAAGGAAACCAAATGCTTGGTGCCAAGCTCACAGCTGCTCAAAGTTTAAGAGAAGGAAACTCTGAAGGAAACGGTCCTTGACCATGGTCCCTGGGAGGCCCACACCAGCCTTTTAAACACCAGCCAGGAAAGGGCCCGGAGAAAGGGTAGCAGAAGAACCCTGGCCGGGAACACGGCACAGCGGGCTCAATCCTGGCACCCCACAGGGACCCCGCCCCCCTGCACACACACACTGAGCCAGGAGTCAGGCTCAAGCTCTGCTGGGTGAGGACCAAAACCAAATGCAAAAACCATCAATAAAAAGCAAAGCGGAACTCACAAGGTCAAGAGTCTGGCCCAGCCGCGTGTCTGGGGAAAGTGGCCCCTTCCCGGGCCTCCGGAGCCCACAGGGCAACAAGGCCCGACCCAGTCCCGCAACTGGCAGCAGACCCGGTCCCACCCCTTGCCCAGCACCTACCGTCAGAGTCACTTCCTGACGCATCGATGTCCCCTGGCTCCTCAGATGTGCAGCCCGGGACGAGATCCTGGTGGGCAGGGTCCAGTGTGGCAGCCCTCGGGGACCTGTCCTGCCCGGTTGCACTGGGCCTGCTAGACGCTTCACAGCTGGGCGCTGCCTCAGGGGAGCTGAGGGGTGCTCCCAGCATGCCAGGTGCTCCCATCATGCCCGATGCTCCCTGCCTGTCAGGTGCTCCTGCTATGCCTGGCGCTCCCTGCACACTGGACGCTCCCTGCTCTTCAGGTACTCCTGCCAAGTCCATTGTTCCCTGCATGCCTGGTGCTCCCAGCACTCCCGGTGCTCCCTGCCTGTCGGGTGCTCCTGCCATGCCTGGTGCTCCCTGCACACTGGGTGCTCCCTGCCCTTCGGGTACTCCTGCCAAGTCCAACGGTCCCCGCAGGCCTGGTGCTCCCTGCTTGTCAGGTGCTCCCTGCTTATTAGGTGCTCCTTCCAAGCCCAATGCTCCCTGCACGCCTGGTGCTCCCACCATGCCTGGTGCTCCCTGACTGTCGGGTGCTCCTACCATACCTGGCACCTCCTGCATGCCTGATGCTCCCAGCACACCGAGTGATCCCTGCTTGTCAATTGCTCCAGCCAAGCCCAATACTCCCTGCACGCCTGGTGCTTCCTGTATGCTTGATCCTCCTTGCATGCCCAGTGCTCCCTGCTTGTTGGGTGCTCCTGTCATGCCCAATGCTCCCACCATACTCGATGCTCCCTGTATGCTTGGTCCTCCCTGCACACCGGGTATTCCCTGGATGCTGGATCCTCCCTGCAGTCCCAGGTCCAGTGCCCCTGCCATTCCGGGGCCAGGGCCTGTGGCGGGCCTGGCGGCCTCGGGGTAGGCAGCTGTGCGCTTTGGGGTCTGGGGCGCGCATTGATCCCCTGTAGCACAGGGGTCTTGCTGGCTGGCCACGGCGGCGCTGAGGCTGGCCCCCGGTGTCCTGGGAGGTGTCTGCGCCTGGGGCGAGGGCGTCAGGGACAGTGCCCTCCCACTGCTGGTAGTGGGCGCGGGCCTCACTCCTTCCTCCCGCGCGAGGCCTGAGGCCGGTGTCCAGGGGCAAGCCCAAGGGGCCCTGCTCGGTGCCTGCTCCGGGACGATGGGGGCGAGGCCCTCGCCCTCATCCTGGTAGGGCCGCTGCGGCACGGCAGGAGCACCCGGCGGGGTCTGCGCATCGGGGCCGGCCATGCCCGTGTCCCTGTCGAGGTCCTCATCTTCGTCCAGCGCTCTCTGGATGGCCCGGAGGGTGGCCGGCGACACAGCGCCTTCCCGTGGCCCGGGTTCGCTGTCCTCGTCTGAGCCGCTGCCCAGCAGGGCGGCCTGCAGGGCCCGCAGCGTCCGCGGGGATGGGGAGCGCGCGGCCGGGGGGCGCGGGGACAGGGGCCGAGGCTCTGGCGAGGCTCGGGTGCTGGGCGGCTGGCTGGGGGGTGGCCGTGCCTGGTCAGTGGCCTCAGGCGGGGCCTGGACGCCTGCAAAGAAACGCACACACTTGGGGGTGGGGGACACGGCTGCCCACGCCTCGTTCCAACCCTCCACCTGGAACCAAGCGTCCCTTTGGTCGTTGCTTCCCGGGCACGCTCTGTGTGCGCGTTATTCCATCAGAGCTAATGGACAGGGTCAGTGTGCGCGTTATTTCATCAGGGCTGACTGACAGGGTAGGTGTGCATGTTATTCCATCAGGGCTAACGCACAGGGTCGGTGTGCGCGTTTTTCCATCAGGATTGATGGACAGGGTCTGTGCACACATTATTTCATCGGGGCAGACGAAAAGGGGCGGGCTCGGCAGGGCAGGGGCTGGGTTTGGTGTGTGGACAAAGGCAGGGGAACAAACTAAACCCTCCTTTGCAACCCAGCACACATGGCTCTGCATGGGCAGTTAATGATAAATTATTAGCAGGGGCGGGTTAAAGAACTGATCTCTCTGGTGGTTGGGGTGGGGTGGGGTTTGTCCATTGGGGTATTTTTGTCATTGTTCTTAACTTCCAGTGGCGCTGGTGGATCTGCATGTGCGCGACCACCGGCATGGTTGCCATCTGGCCCCCAGGGGGAAGCACGAACTCCGGGTACCTTTGATGAGGATATAGTGAGATGTGTCCTCCGAGACCACCCGGCGGGACTCCACGTCTCTAAGGAAGCCCCCCTCCTGCTCATACTGCCGCTGGATCTGGCCCGAACACTGCTGGTTCATCTCCTTCTGGACGTTTTCTATGTGTTGGTTTAGGTAGTTCTTCTTCAGCAGGCCTTTGAGCTGGTACTGTGAAAAGTCATTGGACTCCTGAAGCAAAGAAAGAAGATGAATCTTGTGTCATGGAGAGGTACTAGTCCTCTATTCCCCAACCTGAGACAAGAGAGGATTGATTTTACCCCCCACCCCCAAACAGGTGGTGTCTGCAAATCATAAAATAAAAATCTGAATATGAAGGGGAAAGTAGGACTAACTTATTACAGAACTGTCTTCCACTGAAGTTAGAGGCATCTTCAAAGATTGGGACTGGAGAGATAGCACAGGGGGGAAGGCGTTTGCCTTGCATGCGGCCAACCCAGGTTCGATTCCCAGCATCCCATATGGTCCTCTGAGCACTGCCAGGAGTAACTCCTGAGTGCAGAGCCAGGAGTAACCCCTGTGTATCGCCAGGTGTGACCCAAAAGGAAAAAAAAAAAGATGAAACACCACTGACCAAGCAAGGGGAAGCAAAGTTTAACAAATGGAACTACATTAAACTAAGAAGCTTCTCCACCTCCAAAGAAATGGTGACCAAGATACAGATAACCTGTAAAATGGAAAAAGTCATTCACGCAATATCCACCTGATAACGGATTAATATCAAATATATATAAGGCACTGGTAGAACTTTACAAGAAAGACATCCAACTCCATGAAAAATGAGAAGAAGAAATGGACAGAAATTTCCTCAAAGAAGAAACTCAAATGGCCAAAAGGCACATGAAAAAAAAGCTCTACATCGAAAATCATCAAGGAGATGCAAATCAAAACAATAATGAGATATCATCTCACACCACAGAGACTGACAAACATTCAAAAGAATAAGAACAACCAGTGCTAGCACAGATGTGGGGAGAAAAGGATTCTCCTTCATTGTTGGTGGGAATGCCAATTTGGAAAAGCCTATTGGAAAACTCGGCCAGCCTATTGGGAAAACAATATGGACATTCCTCCAAAAACTGGAAATTGAGCTTCCATATGACCCAGCAATACCACTTCTAGGAATATACCCCAGGGGCCCATAAACACACGACAGAAACACCACCTGCACTTCTATCTTCACTGCACTATTCACAGAATCTGGAAACAAACCAAGTTCCTGAGAACAGGCAACTGGATAGAGAAACTGTGGTATATCTACACAATGGAATACTATGCAGCTGTTAGGTAAAATGAAGTCATCAAATTTGCTTATAAATGATGGACACGGAGAGTATCATGCTGAGTGAGATCAGTCAGAAAGAACAGGACAGACATAGAATGACAGCATTCATCTGTGGGATATTTAAAAATAGGTATGAGACTAATATCCAAGGCCAGGGAAAATAGAGGCCAGGAGGACTGGTTAATAGTTGGAAGTTTGCCAAAAGTATGTGTGGGGCAGAGGGTAGGTAAGATAGATAAGGGACCAGTATGACAGTAATAGCTGAAAATGATCACACTGGACAAAAACTGAGAGCTAAAAGTAGGTAAAGGAATATACCTGATCATATTTCAGTATCAGTATTGCAAACCACAATGCTCAAAAGGGGAGAGAAAGAAGGGGGGAGAGAGAGACAGAGAATAGAAAGAGGGAGAAGAAAAGTGCCTTGGATAGGCAGGGGTGGAGGGAGCAGGAGGGATACTGAAGATATTGGTGGTGGGAAAATGTCCATTGAGTGTTGGAACATTGTATCACTGAAACCCAATCATGAAAAGCTTTGTAACTGTGAAAAAAATTTTTTAAAAATAGTTTTTTTAAAAAGAACTGTCTTCCTCATCCTTCACGCCCTACTGAGGTCAGGAGTCACCCACCATGAGCGGCTCTCTGGCACGGCCATGGCTCCAGAGCACAGAAACCAATCTCATAATTATCTGACTCTTAGCAGAAATACTTCCAGGCTTAATAAGTAAAATACCAGAAACCCAAAATCTGACATCATTTGATCCTTGTGACCAGCTGTAGAAAACAAATTATTTCACAATGCCTTTACAGCATGTCTGATTTGGGGGTGTAAACTCTAAATAATAATGGTGCATCTTTTGTCGAAACAATGAATCTAATCAAAGTAGATAGAATGTTAACTAGAATTCATCTGCCTCACAGGCATTGGGAGGGTTGGGAGGTTGGGTTTATTGGGGTTCTTCATGGTGAAAAATAAGTTTTGGTAAAGGGAAATGTGTTTGATATTTGCATGACCGAGACTTAAACCTGAAAGCTTTGTAACTTTTCCCACAGTGATTCAATAAATAAATAAATAAATAAAAATTAAGAAAAAAAAATAACTGTATTCAAGACAAAAAGAATCGGACCAAAGAGATGAAGTCAGGTTCTGTTTATGACACAATGATTTAGTCACAACACCTGTAGTGAGCACGCAATGCCAGCCAGGGGCGCTCGGGCGAGGCTGAAGCAGGTAGGCAGTGGCCTAGAACACGGGTATGTGTGCCAGGAATGGGCCGGTGTGAGCCCTAGTCATCAATCCCAGCTATGAACCACGATCAGCATCTACGCAGCCTTTCCTGGCAAACTACTCCGCCCAGTACTGCTATCCACGCTGGCCCGTTTGATTTTCCGCCCGAGAGCCAGATGTCACAGTCTCCAGCCTACAGACCAAGCAGTGGATCGCTCCACAGACTGGCTGACTCCCGAGGTGACTAAGAAGAGAAAGATCTGGGGTGACATCAGGTCATAACCCCGATACTGGTAGGGGAGTCCTGGCCGCCCCCGGCACCACGACCCAGGCCGCCTCCCCCCAAAAGCAAAGGCTTCTTCCTTCGAAACATCCACTGCTTCCCAGGCTCCGGGACAGAGCCCCAGCTGCTGCCTGTGAACCAAGGACACCATGCAGTGCTCCTGGAGTCCTCCTTCGCCTAAGAGACACTCTCCTCACACTCTTACTCCATCACCCGCCCCTGCTGCTGGTGCTTCACCTCTGGCATTGCTTCGAACAGCGTCCTCCTGCGCTTGGTGAACTCCTTCATGTCGGTCAGGATCTCGTGCTTCACCTCGGGGGGCAGGCTGGTGAAGTCCTCGGACTCGATGTCGATGGACTGCGGGTTATGGAAGAACTCCTCCTGCGAGAGGAAAATCACCCCCATGAAATCCCAACACCAGACTGTCGGCTATACTCCCCGAGGCAGATCCTTCTTGTGCCTATAACACACACGGGAGTCCCCGTGTCTACACAGACAGGACAGGAAACGCACCCACTCACTCATTTATTCACTCAGAACAACCCAGACAGCTCTGAAGCCCGGGCACAAGCCCGCAGAAACCCGAGAGGCGGAGCAGCACCTCTGGATCACACATTTTCCCACTTCACTTTTTCTCTGCAAGCGAACGTGCAGCCGGCTGCACTGTGTGACTGTCTGCCATGGGTGTGAGTGGGGGTGCTGTGATAAGTGGCTCCACCTTCTGCTCCTGAGGCCATGGGGTCCCCCACAATTGTGTCCACTGCGTTAACTAGTCAGGAGCAACCAGACTCAGGAGCCCCGGGACTCAGGAGCTGCCGCTGCCCGTGCTCCCGGGGTCACCCTGGGAAAGCACCGAGACAGCTGAGGGTCACAGGTGCTGGATCTAGTTGGCATTCACTGCCTTGAATGCAGCTGACTGGGGTTCGATCCCTGGCATCCCATAGGGTCCCCTGAGCACCGCTGGGAGTGATTTCTGAATGCAGAGTCAGGAGGAACCCCTGAGCATTGCTGGGTGTGGCCCCCAAACAAAAACAAGTTAAAAAGATTCATCCCTGTCACAGTCACTGTCCTCCTGTTGTTCATCAATTTGCTCAAGTGGACCCAGTAACGTCTCCACTGTGACACTTGTTACTGTGTTTGGCATATCGAATACGTCACGGGAAGCTTGTCAGGCTTTGCCGTGCGGGTAAGATACTCTGGGTAGGTTGCTGGGCTGTGAAATCATTCTGACTTGGGGAATTATTTAGATACCTGTAGTGCTTGCTTGTGGCTCATCCTCTCTTGCCATTCTTTTTCATCTTCCTCTTCTGAGCTGAAAGGGAAGCATCACTTGTGAAATCCATCCTTGAATGACTCCTTACAAAAACATTCCCAGGCAGTGCTGGTCAGTGGGGGGCTCCAGCCAGCCCCAGGAGTCTGAGCGGGTGCTGAGAAGTTGAGCGAGGGTGTCGGGGCAAGGCACAGGGTCACCTCAGGGCACCTCAGCCCTCTCTGGGATTCCTGAAAGCTCTGCAAGTTTGTGATTACAGCCGGGGACAGCCGGGGCTAGGGAGGAGGGAAGTGCCGTGAGCAAGAGACAGACGGTGACACTTAGCAGGTCTGCTCCAGTGAAGCAGAGGCTGGTCTTAGCAAGGAGGGTTCCAGAAAAAAGGGCACATGGAAGGGAACACAGTGGCAGAGCGAGAGAGAGAGGGAGAGAGAGAGAGAGAGAGAGAGAGAGAGAGAGAGAGAGAGAGAGAGAAGTGTTTAATAAAGTAATCAGCCCTGACAGGAGGATGGATGCCCATTTTCTCGGTTATGTGTTTGTGTGCATAGATTTTAATCTCATGCTGATCTTTTCAAGAAGAGAGAGAGAGAGAGAGAGAGATGCCCCGGGGACAAAGCACAGGCTGATTATAAGGACACCCCAGGGGCCACGGGAAGGGCGTGGGGCCAAGGGGGACAGAGACCAAGCATCTGTGTCCCTCCGCCTGTGCCTGCACCATGGATGTGCCGCTGACCAACAAGCAGAGCAGATGCCACCAGGGGCACTAGGGAGGCAGCCTGTGGCAGGGGAGGGACCCCGCATGCCTGGGGAATGGGGACCATGGTGAGGGTCAGCCAAGCCAGAGGGCTCTGGGGCTGGGCACAGGGGAAGAAACAGCCCCATTGGCTTCACACCGGCCACGAAAACACCAGTAACGCTATTAATGAATTAAAGGCCAGTCTTGGAGGGGAACTGATGGGGAGAGATGAAAGGGAGTGCCCAGAGCACTCTCCGCCCCCAGGGGCACAGCATGGCTGGCTGGGCACAGAGATCAAGGCTCTTTCAAACCAATGTTTGCCTGATTCGTTCTGTTTTGTTTTGGGGCCACACCCGATGATGCTCAAGGCTGACTCCTGGCTCTGTGCTCACGAGTCCCGCCTGGGGGTGGCAGGGACCTTATGCGGGCAGGCTGCATGCCAGGACACAGTCCTACCCTCGGCTGTGCCCCCCGGCCCGGGCTTTACCTGTTCTTTGCTTCTTCCTGTAAGGGCGGCAGAGCAAAGATATCCTCCTGGTGGCGAACCTCCGTCAGGCTGGGGAGCGGGTCACTCCTGGAAATGACAGAAGACTCAAGGGGGACGCCTCCCTCGGGGAGGCCACCGCAGCTGCGGCCCACTTGCACAGACCCGGTGAGCGGGGATGGAAGGGAAGAGGAGGTGCGGGCTCACCCCTGCTGAGCCAGCTCCCCAGAGGAAACACAGCATCCTGAGAAAGGCAGGGGTGTGGGCTGGCTCCAGGGCTGCCGCCTCAGCGTGTGCCACGGCAGAGCCATGGAAAGTGGTGTGCGGGGCAGCATGGCCCAACGGACATTGGGGGCTGAGCGCACGCCCCTTCCTCCTCTCCTCTCTTGGGGCGGGGAGAGGCACCCGGATTCCCCCCACGCCAGGATGAACCGTTGGAAATAGCTCGGGGGCCCAGTCCTGGCCCCTCTTGCCTTTTGGTCTTCAGGGTAGTTTTGATGGCTTGTCTTTTCAAAAACGTCTTCAGAAGCTTCTCTGTGGTTTTCCTGGAGTGGCTGCTGGCTAAATCCTTCCTCTGTCTTCTCTTGGCCTGTGAGAAGGAGGGATGGGGGATTTTAACCCCAGGCACCAGTGCAGGAAAAGCCTTTGTGTGGTTTCCCCCCAGAGCTGGTCTGTCTCAGTCTGCGGCCAGGGTCATTTCAGCACCGAGTCTCCAGCCCAACGCCGAGGCCCCGAGAGTCGCACAGTCTGTGAATAGCTGCTCTATACCACGGTCACGGTCACGGTCACGGTCCTTCCGCTGTTCATCAATTTGCTCGAGCGGGCCCAGTAATGTCTCCATTGGAGACTTTGTTGTTACTGTGTTAGGCATATTGAATACATCACGGGTAGCTTGCCAGGCTCTGCCGTGCGGGCGAGATACTCTCAGTAGCTTGCCGGGCTCTCCGAGAAGGGCGGAGGAATCTATAGCACAAGCTTGGAAAACTAGTGGGTATTTTTAATACTTTCTCTCACATGTCTAGTTTCTGCGTTAACAGTATACAACAGAGCAAATGCTTCCTAAGGGACTTTTCTATCAATATATTGTGAAAAGTCATTGTTAAAACCAAAGGCTGACAATTGGTTTTACTTTTTATAATTACCATTTGCAACCGACATTCCAGATTATGGCATAAGGAAGCTTAAATGTACAGAACTGTCTGGGACTCTTCCAGAGATCCAAGCTGGGAGAGATGTCCAAATGAAACTGCCCATCCTTATAGCTGAATAAGAGGCAGGAACATCAAAACGTTCCCTTTCCCTGCCCAATGCTGGGAAATGCTCGCTCTACAGTGCTCACAGGGAGCTGAAACTGCAGCATTCGCCCTGAGCCTGCAGACGAAGCCCCCATGCAGTTAGGAATCCTTACTTCTACCCTGCGTTTGCATGGAATCTGATAACATCCACCTGGTGAGATTAAGAAAGTGGTGAGCCAGGAGGTGTAGGACAGAGGGCAAGGCACTCGCCTGGAACACAGCCAACCAAAGTTCCATCCCCAGCACCCCAGGTAGTTCCCTGAGCCTGCCAAGAGTGACCTCTGAGCACTGCTGGGGCTCCTGAAGAAAAACTGGGATGGAGCAATAGCACAGTGGGAAGGGTGTTTACCTTGCACATGGCCGACCCAAGTTTGATTCCCAGCATCCCATATGGCCCCCCAGGCACCGCCAGGAGTAATTCCTGATTGCAGAGCCCGGAGTAACCCCTGTGTATCACCGGGTGAGATTCAAAAAGCAAAAAGTAAAAAAAAAAAAAGAAAAAGAAAAACTAAGATACTAATGTGATGAACTGGTGATTTCTGCCTATTGCAGGCCCACGGGGCTGGCGTGCAGGTAGGGTTAGTGTTGGCTGTAGTAAGGGAGCTTTACTGCCTGGCAGAACTCGCCCATAGACTCAGGTTTCCCATTCATGCTGCACTGTGGTGTTGTGTAAAACAGCATCGTACCTTTAAGCGACTACCTGTGCCCTCCGTCTGAAATATGGCTAAGCATGCCAACTGTGGCCTGGGCCGGTGGAGAGTCCTGTGAAAAAGCACAGCATCTGGGCCAATGCGTACAGCAGGTTAGGAGCCCGCCTTGCTTGCGGCCAACCCAAGTTCCATCTGGGCATCCCAAATGGTCCCCAAGCCCTGCGAGGAGTGGTCCCTGAGCGCAGAGCCAGGAGGCCCCAGCACCACTGTGTGTGGCCCAACGTGGTGAGGTCTGTCTGATCACCCCAACCTCGCTTCCGCGTTTCAGGAAACACGCTCCTTTTCTCTCCCATTCCAGTTCCTCTCTTGCTCACGCCCTTAAGTGATGTCAGCATACAGGATTGCTTACGTCATAACCCAACTCACCTTTAGAAGAAAGCTCATACCATGGGGTGTGGAAATAGAATTCAGCGGGGACAAGGTCCCCCAAGGCGGAGGGTCAGCTCAACCCCAGAGCTGAGCTCTTAAGAATACGAACAGAGGCTACTCTAAAGGCACACAGCTCAACTGTAAAATTTCTCTTTTTTTCCTATTTTACCATCGCACCCATGATGTCACTTTTGTTTTTGGTTTTATTTATTTATTCATTGCTTTTTGGGTCACACCCGGCGATGCACAGGGGTTACTCCTGGCTCTGCACTCAGGAGTTACTCCTGGCGGTGCTCAGGGGACCATATGGGATGCTGGGAATCGAACCTGGGCCAGCTGCATGCAAGGCAAACGTCCTACCCGATGTGCTATCCCTCCAGCCCCCATGATGTCACTTTTGTAAGAAACTTTTTTTTTTCCTGGTTTTTGGGCCACACCCTGCTGTGCTCAAGGTTTACTCCTGGCTCTGTGCTCAAGGATCACTCCTGGCAGGTTTGGGCTACCATGTGGGGTGTTGGGGATTGAACCCAGGTCAGTCGTGTGCAAAGCTGTAACCACTGTAGTACCACCCAGCCCGTAAGAAACCTATTTTTCAAAAGGAAGGTGTTTGGGGAATGGAGATGCGTGTTATCAGCCTGGATTCGATCTCCGCCACGCTGTCGGGTCCCCTGAGCACCAGCTGTAGTGATCCCTGAGCTCAGAGTCTGGAGTAAGCCCAGGGTACCATTAAGTGTGGCCACAAAAACCAAAGATAGAGAAAAGGTGCTTGCGATTCATTACAAACAAACCAAGCAGGGGCTGGAGCAATAGCACAGTGGGTAGGGCGTTTGCCTTGCATGCAGCCAACATGGCCGACACAGGTTCGATTCCCAGCATCCCATATGGTCCCCCGAGCACCGCCAGGAGTGATTCCTGAGTGCATGAGCCAGGAGTAACCCCTGAGTATCGCCGGGTGTGACCCAAAAAGAAGAAAAAAAAAAGCAGTTGATATTGGAGAGGATGTGAGCAGATGCTGAGTTATGTGTTGGAAGAGGTCTAGGTTTCCAGAATTCTAAGGCAAAGCTTGATCTCACCATGAGGAGACAGGTGGTGGGTTCTTACCAAAGTCTGTTTCTTCAGTAGCGGAGCATCTCCGTCAAACACAAAAATTGGACGAATTCGAAAAAACAGGAGCTTGCAGAGCCGATGGAACAAGGTGAGGAGGTGGGGGTTCTCGATGGAGTTGCCATGGCGATCTCGGACTCCCTTGAGAGCCTGGTTTAGCCAAATGCTAATGTCTGCGGCAATGGGTAAAGGAAAACATGGCCAAGAGGCTTCCTCTCCTCATACCGCTGTATGGGAAAGCTGACAGGAGGACCCATCACAATTCAATGGATGTTTGATGGGCTACGCCTGAAACCAGCCAACTCCACAGACCCTTTGCTAGATTATAAAACCTGACAAATGCAGAAGTGTTCCTTCAAATTTGTATTGTGAAAAACTGATCCTTTCTAAAAACCACTGAAGGCCTTCCAGAATTTTATCAAAGTAGTACATTTCCTGAGGACAATTAGCAGTCTGTAGCAAAAACAATAAAAAAAAAAACCCACCTCATTTCCTATTTTAGAAAATCTACTTCCAGACACTTTCCTTAGGAATTATTAATAATTCTAGGAATTAGTAAATTACCTCAAAGACTGTGTATAGTTAAAATATAACAATGTAAGTTCTCAAAAAGATTCTATATTGTAACTAATATAAAATACTGGTTTGCTGGAATACCAAGGAGTCCTTGAAAATGGAAGTCTGCAGAAGCATATATATAGTGATAAGCAGCCACAAAATATTAAAGGATGTAAAAAGAGGTTACAAAAGGACATAAAGAATAACTCCAGTTGATAATATAGTCTAATATAAAAACTAGTGCAGACAACAAACTATTAAGAGTTTATCACTACTGTTATTTCAAGTCATCTGTTTTCTTTGGGGGCTTTCTTAACAGGTCTCTTTAAAAAAGTTTTTAAAGAAAAAAAATAGCTAAGGGTCAGAGAGAGGGAGGGACAGAGGGAGAGAGAAAGTATCTGCCATAGAGGCAGGCAGGCAGGGAGTGGGGATTGGCAGGAGGTTAACTGGGGACATTGGTGGCAGGAAATGTCCACTGGTGAAAGGACGGATGGGTATTGGAACATTGTATGAGTGAAACCCGATCATGAACAACTTTGTAACCGTGTATCTCATGAGAATTCAGTTTAAACAAATTTAAAAATTAAAAATATAAAAGATGGATGAAAACTGAAGAAAAGAAATGGCCAAGGGGCAAAACAGTGCTTGGGAGCCACTAAGCTGCCCTGGGTTGGGGAAGACGGCACAGAGCAGCAGGAGAACCCTGGGTGGGTCAGAGGGAGGCCAGGGCCAACATCAAGTGACAGAGAGAGAAAATAATTTCCAGGTCACCCACTTCCCTTCCAGGACCACCTGTGAAGGGGAAAAGGACCAGACCAGGGAAGGCCATGGAAAAGACTCCAGGAGGTAGCTTAAGGGTCACCCTGGGGAGAAACCACAGAAAACTGGCTTAAAACAAGTCCTGGAGAGGATGCAGAGGGACCGGCTGGGTGTGGGTGTGGGACACAGCCTGGAGGTGGCTCTGCCCTAAATTCCCCTGCAGCAAGATTTCTGTTTGGTTTCTGTCAGGTTGCACAGGGGCAGGGAAGCTTCCATTTCGCCCACCATCACTTGTGTTTACACTCAAATGAGACCGTGTAATTTCAGAGTGGCTCTCAACTACGCTATCCTTTGGCACTGGACAGGAAGCTTCAGAACATTTCTAAAAAGATAGATATGTCTGAATCACAGATGCTGACTTTTTTTTTTTTCAATGAACCAGAGGTAGCGCCAATGCTCAGCTGAGGTTTAGAATTTCATTTTGAAATTCTGAAAGAAATATGTAAAATTAGGCAGGCTGAAAACACTGCCTAATTCAACTACTCTATTTTTTCAGTAATTTTTATATAAAGTGAAATTAAATTTATCCCAGATTGATAAAATCTATAGCAAAGTGGCCAGAGAAATTATGGTGTCTATAATACCTGCAGCCACCAGACACAATTCCCCAAGCACTGCCAGGACAAAGCCCTGGGCACGGCCACAAGTGACCACCCCCCAAAAATCGTACAAAAAGAAAAATCCTGCAGCAAAGTGAAATATATTTTTTAAGGCCTGAAGAAGCAATAACCATTTTGAAACAAAAAATAAACTGCCTATTTTCTACTTTTAAGTCTTACATTTTAACTAATTCCCATTATTAATAATCTAAACCAAGTATCTCCTGCAAATTACATATGTGTCTTTTTATGAATTTAAGGTCGTTAAGAGACCAAAGTTAAACTCTCATCCTTTATTTCCGTATACAGACATCCAAGCTACATAAATAAACAGGACACTTAGATGGTAACATGACCAAACAATTTATTTTACAGATCCAACAGTGAATTATGAATCTGGTATAGAAACAGGGTTGCTGGGGTTTTTGTTTTCTTTTTATTTTTTTTAACGAACAAAAACAAAAAGTATATTTCTGATACTTGAACTCAAATTCCCATGGAAAGTAAATAAAACATTAACTGCAAAACTATCAATAACCAGGCTCAGAAAAAGACTCCCCAAAGAGCTTCTAAAAGTTGGCTTAAAATAGAAAACCTGAAGTAAAAGCGTGTCCTTTCCGGGACACCATCCTGGGAGGGGGGGGGGAAGAAAATTCACCAATAAAAAGATTTGGGAACTTTGCCTGTCCCGTGCACCCCAAAACTCCCCTTTAAAGTTAAGTCTGGGGGGCGGGAAGAAAAGGATGCGCCCCCCACACACACACACACACACACACACAGGAGTATCTGCAGGGGCTGGGGCCTATGAACGTCCTAGTCAAAACATAAAAATAAGCAGTGGGACTATTTTCGCAAGACGAAAATAGTCTAAACCCCCGGCCAGCTGCATGGCAGACCCCTGTACCAGGGAGAAGAGTTGGGGGCACGAGGGGTGGGGTGGGCCCTCCCTGCCCGGAAAATGCACCCAGGACTCGGTGGGCAGTTTCTGGACTCCTGGAGGGGCTGCTCCCCGAGCCCCAGGGAGAGGGATTGGGGGGGGGGGGGAGGAGGAGGAGGAGGAAGAGGAGGAGGAGGAGGAAGAGGAGGAGGAGGAAGAGGAGGAGGTGAAGGAAGTGGAAGAGGAGGACGGGGGAAGAACCAGGAAAAGGAGGAGGAGGACGAAGAGAGGGAGAGGAGGAGCAGGGGAAGAAGAGGAGGAGGACGGAGAGGAGCGGGGTAGGAGGGAAAGAGGAGGGGGAGCAGGAGGAGGACGCAGAGGAGAGGAAGCAAAGAAGGGGAGAAAGAGGAGGAGAAGGAGGAGGGCAGGGGGGAGGAGGAACAGGAGGAGGGGAGGAGGAGAAGGAGGAGGAGGAGGAGGAGGAAGAAGCAGAGGAGAGGAGGGGCAGGGGAGGAAAACGAGGAGCAGGAGGATGGAGCGGAGAGAAGGGGCAGGGAAGGAGGAGCAGAAGCAGGCGGAGACCTACGATGTGGAGAGGAAGAGCAAGGGAGGAAGAGGAGGGCTACCAGGAGGAGGGGCAGGAGGGGCCGTGGGAGGCAGCGGCAAGGATACCCACAGCCAGGATCTTCCCCTCCAGCGTCTCGGGGCTCACCGGCCGGCCCGAGCACTCCAGCAGCTTCCAGAGCCCCTGCACTCCCATGAGGCCTGGCTGCGGTCGGGTGCGGCCCCGCACCTGCCTCGCCCAGAACTGGGGCCCGAGGCACCGGCCGTCCTTTCCCTAACGCGCAGCGGGTCCCGCGGCCTTCCGGCTTCCGTCGAGCGGACGGAAGTCCCGCCCTCCCGTGGCGGAAGTCCTGCCCTCCCGTGACGTGTTTCTCCTGCGCCGCGGCCATGGCGGCCGGAGCGGGCGGTCGTGCTGCGTCCCGGCCTGTCTTCTCGCGGCGACCCCCTCCACGCGGGCACTTGGGGCCTGGGAAGCGGCAGTCGTGTCGCAGCGTGTCTCCTTCCCCACAGGGAAACCTCGAGGGGCGTCGCCGCCCGCGGCTTCTACCACTCGACTCGCCCAGATCTTCGCACCGTTTGTGGTTCCGAGATGTGTCCGACTCCTTGCAGCGAGATCGCGATGCCATCTACATCAGACCGTTAGAATACAATAATTTTTCCCCCTCCTTATGCAATTTGGGATTCGACACCCGTAGGTCGGGACGGCCGCAGGGACCCGGCGCCCCCAACGCCTCCCTCCCTCCCCAGCGTGGTTCTCTGCAGGTGGGCCATGGTGGGGACGGGGTTCGTGGGTCCTGCCTTGTCGGACTCGGTGGCAGAAAACCGGGCGTGCACACGACCGGCCAGGATCAGAGGCAAGGTGTGCAAAGCATTCAGTGGGAATAGACTTAAAACGATGGATTTATGCATCGTCCTTCAAGTTGAAATGAAGGTCCGGTTCACAAGACTGGTTTAACTCAGTTATTATGCCAAGGAATAACTTAGGACAACTTGGTTTTGGTTTGAATCAGTCTTTAGGGCCAGAGTGATAGCATAGCAGGTAGGGTGTCTAAGTACCTGGTTTCTATCCCTGGCACTATATATATATATCTCACGATCATCCTGTTGTTCATTGATTGCCTCGAGCAGGCACCTGTAAGTGTACTTCTTCCTAGCCCTGAGATTTTAAAAGAGCCATTTCAGTGCTCTTTCAGGATTAGGAGAATGAGACCCATCATTCTCCATCATTGTTACTGGTATTTGGCATATTGAGTATGACGCCAGAAGTTTGCCAGACTCTGCCGTGCGGGCAGGATACTTTTGGTAGCCTGCAGGTTCTCCAAAGGGAAAATACAATAATAAGATGTCGCTTCCGGGACCTGGGTTTTATAGTCTCTGCATCTTGGCCATTGATGGGACCAACCTGGGGCTGGCGACAGCTGGTGGGTGTGACGCCTACCTACTGGAAGATGGGGGCTGTGGTTAGAGAAAGCTCAGTCCCAATCCGAGTAGGCTTGGAGACCTCAGCCCTGGGAGCTGCATGCCTGGGTTCCTCTGCCAGTTCTTTCGTGCATGAGACCCGTCTGGACATATGGAGAGTGGTCCCAGCATAGCTGTGGCTGACTCCGGAGGGCCTCAGCTGCTGGGGCTCTGCTCGGGGAGGGGATGGAGAGAAACTCAACCCTCCCCCCTCCAAGGGAATATATATATATATATATACATATATATATATATATCCCAAACTTGCCAATAGTGATCCCTGAGTGCAGATCTAGGAATAAGGCCTGAGCACCTCTTCATGTGCCAGTCCCCACAAGGGGATGGGGGGGGAGGGGAGAACAGTCTATCAAAATCATTTCTATACCTAAGCACATCATTGATCGTAATTGTGTTTACATGACCTACCTACAATTTTCTTTCTATAAGAATGATGCAAAATGCCCTGAGAATGCTAGGACGTTTTGTCATTGTTCTTTGCATCGCCTCCATAGCACTGTAGCACTGTCCTCCCCTTGTTCATCGATTTGCTCGAGTGGGCAGCAATAATGTCTCACAACAAATTGTGAGACTTGTTACTGTTTTTGGCATATTGAATACATCACGGGGAGCTTGCCAGGCTTTGCTGTGCCGGCGAGATACTCTTGGTAGCTTGCCGGGCTCTCGGAGAGGGGTGGAGGAATCGAACCCAGGTCGGCTATGTCAGCCGCATGCAAGGAAAATACTTTACCCACTGTGCTATCGCCTCCATATGGTCAGAAATTCCAAGAAATTGTACCTGGCTTGATTTCACTGAGATTAATCGCCCATTCAGTTTTTGTCTTCACCCCACTGAACTGTGTACTTGTTGAGGCCAGGGATGATTTTATTGATTATATCTCTACCCCAGCGCTCGCCAGAGATCCCATAAATATTACGCCTATGACCTCTTCTTGACCTCCAGGCTGAAGCTCTTTGCCTTGGACCAGATGAATCTCCGCAAAAAAATCGGGAAAATGGTGGTTGGGACCTTAGAAGCCAAATAACCTTGTTCTGTGGGAGGAAATGGGCTACTCTAAGATTCATATACGGAAGCCCTAATACCCAAAGCCTCGGAGGTGGCAATGGGGCCAAATGCCTTAAAAGGGGGCCACCAGGGTAGATCTGCAATCAGTCCGACTTGTGCCCTTTTAAGAGGGGCTGTGGGCAGAGACATGGGGGGTGCAAAAGATGAGCATCGGAGAACTCAGGAAAAGGCCAGACTGTCTTGATTCCCAGACCCTAGTTAAATTACTAGAACATGTCTTTCTGTTGCTTACACCACCCATCTGGTTATTTCATTCTGAGAGCCTTAGTAAAAAGTTCATTCTGTGAGGCTGGAGTGATAGTACAGTGGGTCGGGTGTTGGCCTTGCACACAGCCGACCTGGGTTCAACTCCCAGCATCCCATATGGTCCCCTGAGCACCACCAGGAGTAATTTCTGAGTGCAAAGCCAGGAATAACTCCTGTGCATCTCCAGATGTGACCCAAAAAGCCAAAAAAAAAAAAGTGCATTCTGTGTTAGTGTCCCCACTAGTGGGAATGGATGAACACAAATGTGGCAACCCCATCTTCTTGGGGTGGTTCTGCACTCGGTTATTTCACAGGGAACTCAGTAATGGTGCTTAGGTCTATTTGTGGACCGAATGACACCGGGAACATACTGTTAACATAGGCACAGAGCGAAATGGGGCCCAGTGCCCAGCTGCCTACTCCCCTGCAGTATGCGGAAGAACAAAAGATGAAAAGCATGAGAGCTGCAGTGCCAGTCTCGCCTAATGATAGACCACGGTCCAGGGCAAAGGCACCATCGGGACATAGTAAAAGCAACCAAGTCTATGTGGACTGCAGTAGTTTACAGCCAGTGCAATATTCTCTTGAGTAGAAACTACTCTTTCACAGGGACAGCAACTAGGGGATATCCTTCAGACACTATAAGGACTTTTCCATCTTAAACTATGAAGAGCTCTTTTGAAGTGATAGTTACAGCAGGTACTTAAATAGCCATTCCTGTCTAAAAAGCACAGCTGGAAACACTACATGGATTAAACAGCTTCTCCAAAACAGTTTAAGATACTATTGAGGAAATAGTAAAAGAAATTAATCTTAATTAGTGTAAAGCCAGTATTTGAACCTTCGTGGCTACTATGGTGGAGGCTGAAAGAAACTGACCATGAAATTAACCATTAGGACTGTTACTGATAGTCCTGACATTTAATTCATCTTGAAGATACGTATGATGTGATTCGCTCAGTTTCTGGAAAAGCAGACTGATTCAAATATCAGTGTGCTTTTGTAGCTTCCAGACTGGCATACCAGGTTATTCATCATATTTATCAAGATCACTGTAAAATCTGTTTGTGGTCAGCGAACAGCTCATGTCAGCTCGTTCTCCTTTCCTAGATGTCTCTAAATTCTTCAGCTTCCTAATTCTACAATTGTCTCAGCTTTCCCAGCCTCTTCTCTGACAAACTGAATTCAGTTCATTGCTGACAGTCACCTGTGTTCAGCCTACAATATGGACTACTTCATTTGATTAAGATTAGTGTAATAATTGCCAACTAATGGGTCAGAGAGATAGTTACAGCAGGTAGGGCACTTGCCTTGCATGTGGCTTCCTGGGTTCAATCCCTGGCACCACATACGATCCCAAGCCCCACCAGGAGTGATCTGAGTGCAGATCCAGGAGGAAGTCCTGAGCACTGCTGAGTGTGTGCCAAATATAAAATGTAAGATGGAGGAGAAAAAGAATTTTCTACTTATTATAAAGTCTTACAGGAATCTACAGTTAAAATCATAATAAAGATTTTTTTCTTGATTATAAAAGTCTCAGATGTGATGATTCAATAGTCTACTTAGAATTGATCAACTGTATTCAAACAGTATGTTCAAAGGGAATCAAAAGGTACCTCCTACCTAAAACAAAGGTCCAAAACATTCACATGATTAAAAGTAGAAAACAAAACTTTATTTGATGAAAACTTCTTAAAAGTTTCAGTATGAAGTAACAAAATCAACAACCTACAAATCGGTCAATCCTTCGCATTCCAAGCAAAATACTGTCTTCAGGAAAAAAAGACCATTTCATTATATATTTCTCCTTCTATAGGCTAGGCATGTCTGAATGGAGATGGATATAAAATTCAAAGAGAATAAAATGAAAATATTTAAAAAATAAAAATCTGAACCCTCTCCTTGAGGTGTATTGAGGTACGCTCACCACCATACCCAGCACCTGGTAATCATCAAGTTACTGACTTGAGTCTCAGAAAAAGATCCTTAAATGAAAGAACAAGAGATCCTAGTTGTCTGCGAATCACAGGGAGAAAAAAAACGATGGTACTAGTAAAGTGTTCGGTCATTTCGGCTCACCATCTACATGAAGAAAAAGCTCAGGAAGTTGGGAGAATGACTCTGGAGGAAATTTCTAACTCATCTTTCATGCTATTATCAACACATGACCTCCCATTGAAGGCCATCAGATAGCAGAGGATCTCATTTATCAGAACACCTGGGGTAGAGAAACTTGTTCTTTTACTCTGCTCCTAAAAACTAGGTCCATTCTGAACTTGACAAGCCTTTGAAGTCCTAAAATTCTTGCCAATATCTGACTGTAGCATACAAAGTCAAGAAAACCAAGAATAGCTTGAATCAGTGCTCCAAAACCACCCATTTGCACAATGGAAAAGATCAGTTTCTGGAGCCTTTCTCTCTCGCCTCTTTATTAAGGATCCTGAGAGACTTAAGCAGGACACAGTGAGGCTGGCGAGAAACTGCCGCAAGTAAAACAATGAGTAGACTAGCTAAACAATTTCAAATGAGCTTTCACCATGAGAGAAAATGAGAACAGCCCCATTTTCTGAAAAGGGCCGAGGGTGCTTTAATACATCTTGAGCTTACAAATGAAATCTAGGCAACAAGTGGGAATCGAGCCGTAGGAAATCATGCTGAAGGATTTCAAATTGCAATCTATTAAATGAAATTGTGTTTGACTGATCTGTCATTTACTGGAGTTTGTGAAATTGTCCAGAATATCTACATACTCCAAACTTTAAAAGGACGATAATCTGTGCTTATCTGCTCATATATCTGCAGTCACATCACCGTCACCCTATACAAGCTTATTAACCGGAGAACTACAAGGTTATGTTTCATCCCGCATGATCTGTTCCTACTGAAGGTAGCCTTAGTTAGCTCGCCTACTGTCTTAGCATGGTCCAGGCCAGGACCATTGTGGACATGACAACGGTTGCTCCGTAGCAGCAACTCCATCATTTGGTCAGCAGCCGGTAGGCTCAGTCAGTCATTGCCCTCATAATCACTGTAGCCCTGGTAAGCACTGTTCCTCCGCTCGTGGATGCTGGACATCTTCTTCCACGCCGAATCCTGATGGAAACTCGCGCTGAAAGAGCGGCCCAGCCGCCCGTGCGGCTTCTTGGAGATGTTGTCTTCGCTCTCCGACTTGGCCATTCCCTGGCTGTGTGTCGGAGGTTGTGACTCTGCTCTGATGGTTCCAAATGGAAAATTCCAAAGGCCAAACCGCTGCCAATGAAGTTTCTGGAATGCTATGATACAATGCAAATTTCCGCCAACCTGACAAGGGGAAAAGAATTTTGGTAAAGAAAATGATAGGAAATGAGCTATACTATTAAGTAGAGTCCTTTGATTGCATTTGTTATTTCCTCCTTGCCTCAAGAGTAGTGTGTGTGTGTGTGTGTGTGTGTGTGTGTGTGTGTGTGTGTGTGTGTGTATAGCAAGGTAGGTTTTAGTGAAGGAAACTTGATTAGAAAGATGTGAGAGGAGAGAAAGGGGAAATATGTGTTCAAGAGAAAACACAGGCTTCTTTAGTGTGAAAAAGAGCAAGCAAGGAAACAAACAAGTGAAGTACATGTGCAAGCAAGAATGCAGCTTCAAGAGCATCTCAAACCTCCAGGACTCTGTTGGCTTTCACACCTACTATCCCCTCCTCATCGGCTGGACCCAGAACTCAGATCATTGCTCATCCTCTCCACTGGACACTCTGTGTATGTCGTGGGATCATATCAGCTAGGCATTTACTCGGTGCACAGACGCGTTACTTGACCCATGCTAGGCCAGAGCAGAGGCCGAGACAGACCTGCCTTGGATTAGAATGCCTCTATGGAAGGAGACAGCATGTGCTGGATGGAGATTTTCAGGGAGTAAATAACCAGGCAACCAGGTAAGCACAACACAGAACACCAGATGAATGAGGGTTATATGGCTCCTACTGCCAGGGTGTGACCTGCTTCTAGTCCCGTAGGATTCCAGACTCTACTCCCTGCCCCTCCCTGATGAAGGTACCCCAGGATCCTTAAAATAATTTCCCCTTTCCTTCTAAGGTCTGAACTGGGTTTCCACTATTTACCACTGAACAGATACAGACTAAATGACTTCATTTTGGTCAGACTGGAAATGCTTCCCATGGTGATGCTCGCACTGGTGTTCTTACCTTCTTTGTTTTTCGGTATTGTAGCCCCCTCTCTAAGTGCCGGATATCTAGAAATTCTGGATTCTGAGTGTTTAGATCAGTAACAATATCCGCCCATCTATAGTTAAGAAGTAAAGATAAAACACAGTTTTTCATTTAAGTACAAACTTCCATCACATTGGAACTTCTCACACAAGCAATTTGCTATAATACTACCAGGAAGTAATTCTCTAATCCCTGGATTGATTCTTCCACCTATAAACTCTAATGGAGTCTTGCTGTTAAGACGATTCTACATATCCAAGGGTCTCAAATTTTAAAATGGTTACTTTTCTATGAAATAAATATAGACTTGCTAGATGCCACCTACAAGTAGAAACATCCCATATTTCCTTTTAGAATTAAATACATTTTCCAAATATTTGGTAGGCAAAATCTATATTCACAGGCAGTATGACTGTCCAAAGAAATTACAAATTTTTTCTACTATTACTAGAATTGATAGGTGAATTTGATATAAATGTAATATTCAAGATCTATAAAGAAAAATCTATTGTATTTTTTGTACTTTACAAGAATGTAATTGGCAATTATTTTTTAAATCAATTGATAAGGGCATCAAAAAACATACCACACTTAGTGGTCTATACAGCAAAATCATTATATTGTATATTATAGTGTACTCAAAATTTATTGAGTAGGTTCTTTTCTTTGGAGTGGGGGGGCAGGGGGCACACTCAGAGATTCTCAGGGCTTACTCTTGGCTCTATGCACAGGGTCACGCTTGGTGATGCTCTGGAGAACCTCCATAGTTACAGGAATTGAACCAAAGATGGCTACATACAAGGCATATGTTTAACCCTGGTACTGTCCCTCCAACTCCAGAGAGTAGATCCTAAGTGTCCTTACCCACACACACACAAGGTAACTGTGAGCTGTTTAGCATATTACCAGCAGATTGTGGCAATCAGTTTTCAATATAAACACATCAGCAAATTTAGGCTTTAAATATACATATTTTATCAAATATAGCACTGTAGCACTGTCCTCCCATTGTTCATCGATTAGCTCAAACAGACCCGGTAATGTCTCCATTGTGAGACTTGTTACTGTGTTTGGCCTGTCGAATACATCACAGGTAGCTTGCCAGGCTTTGCTGTGCAGGCAAGATACTCTCAGTAGCTTGCTGGGCTCTCCGAGAGGGGTGGAAGAATCGAACCCGGGTCACCTGGGTCGGCTGCATCGGCTGCGTGCAAGGCAAACACCCTACCTGCTGTGCTATCACTCCAGCCCAGTATACCCCAATAAAACTGAGATAATAAAATTTCAGTAAAACTGTTAAAAGAATGACATTATCAACACTATAAAGATGAAGAAAACAATTGGAACATTCATTCATTGCCAGTCAAGATATAAAGTGGTACAACCACACTGGAGAACTTTCATTTTCTTAAATATGCAACTAGTCTATAAATTAGTTCATTTCTAGGTATCTATCCATCGAAAACAAAATCTGTACATACATGTCCTCAAAAGACAAAAAGAAAAACATGGCATAGCCATACAAAGAAATATCCTGGCCATCTAAAGTATTCTTTTTTTTTTTAAGTATTCTTAATCACAACATGAAGGTATGCTAAAAACATTGTTCTAAGTGAAAAAATAGAGACACAAAATGCCATATATTGTGTGGTTCCATTACCTGAAATATCCACATTAGGCAGACCCACAGAGACAGAAAGTAGATTAGTGGTTACCAGGGGTTGGGGGAAAGACCATCAAGAGTTTCTGCTAATGGGGTCTGGGGTTTGCTGAGGGATGATGAAAATGTTCTGGCATTAGAGAGTAATGCTCAACTCTCTGAATCTACCAGAATCCATGGTTTAAAAGACTGAACTTTATGAGATAAGTCAAAGAAATTCAAATGCTTGTAATAAATAACACGCTACACAACTCAATTTTGATTCTACTCACACACAACTCAATACTACTTAGCAACTGCATTTTTTTTTTCAAAGTAACTATTGGTACATATGAAACAGTAGGTGAGTCTCACAGACTGTTTAAACAGAAGATGTCACACACAAAAAGAATATTTCATGATTATGAAATTCAAAGAAAAGCAAAGCTGCTCTCTGAGAGGAAATCACACTCCATGTCCCTCCATGAACACTGACAGGCAAGGAGCAGGTGTTCTCCATGGTCCTGAAAATGTCACGCAACTCAATGGCATGTTACTCACTTATTATGATCTCCCCAGGTAAGACCTGTGATTCACTCTGCGCATCAGATTTAACAAAAGAGAAGTCAACATACTTTTTGCAGTGAATAGCAGGATGTTTTCGACTAGATTCTCCAATTAGGATCCAGTATTCTACTTCCTGCGATGAGAGAGGCCCCCTGCTGAATATGAAATGCATTCACGGTAAGCTTGACCAGACAATTCATTCCCTGGGACATTCTGCTTTGAATATGTTAATAAAATATGTACTTAAGTCTACTCAAATAAACATGGTACCTCTTAGTGCTAGAATCGGCTTTTGATTGAGCTGATTTCTGAAGGTCATTAAAAGGAAGTAAAAATTAAATTTATACTTATATGCCCAACTATTACAAAATTTCAGGCTAAAAAATGTATGAAGTTTCTAGCATCTAAGAAGAAAAGGAAAAACTCTTACCTGCTTCCAAGGTCACTGTCTAGTTTTCTCCTTTCAAGTGCATTCAGGAAGGTCAGAATATATTCTAAAAATAAACCCTGAAAGCTGTGTTTTGTCTGGGGAACTTGGAATCATTCTGATACCTGCATCCCTTCTCTGAGGACTACAGTTTAAGTAGGTCTGGAATCTGCCCAATTTTCAAAGCATCTTGGAGATTTGCAGGTGCAGGCAGAGGTGTAGAAAGTAGCAGGACCTACTTTCTCACGATTTGCATTTTGACAGATATTCAGAGTAAGGGGGGAGCGTTAGGATGAAACTAGAGAATAAAGTGTGCAAAGAGGAGTCTAATATGATGTAAGGAAAAGTAAATAACAATAACGAAGTCTTTGAATGTGTAAGTGACTGTTCCCTGAACACTTTCCCCAATACATTTTCCTGATGTTTTGCCACTCAAAACCCAGAAACACTTACCTGAATGCTTTATTTGCTTTAACGGGAGTTGCTTCAAAGCCAATGGGGCAGAAGTAATGGTTCTGGCAATGATAGATATAAGCCAGAGATTCCTCTTTCAATCCATGTGTTAACTTGGACAAGGCGCCTGATGCTACAAAAGAACAAACCCACACACTCAGGAACCAAAAACACCACCTGTAATCCCCACAACCCCGCTGCTTAGGACGGAAGGACGGGCGCATTCCAGGGGGTGGGGGGAGACACTGACAGTTTGGGGGAATGAGACACTACTGCACTACTGACAGATTTGGTGGGGGGGGGGGGAGGAACTAAGGAGTTTGCTTTTCATTTGACCCTGGAGACTGAAGTTCAGACCCACCTAGTAACAAACGGAAGTGCCAAGGCTGCATCCTTGCTTACCAAAACTCCCAGCACACACACAGTCATGAAATGTCAGCACTGCAGAAAGCCCAGTGCCCTATGCAAGCGACTACGTCACCAGCTATGCCACTCTGCCACTAGAACTTTCTGAGTGAGCAATTTTGCCCCTTCATTATGAAAATGTATTAGGGGACTAAGCTGCCAACATGAAAGATGTACATCGACACAGTGGAATACTATGCAGCTGTTAGAAAAGATGAAGTCATGAAATTTGTTTATAAGTGGATGGTCGTAGAGAGTATCATGCTAAGTGAAGTAAGTCACTTATTTCACTTAGAAAGAGAAGAACAGACACAGAATGACTGTACTCATTTGTGGAATATAAAATAACGTAATATGAGACTGACACCCAAGGACAATAGAGACAAAGGCCAGGAAAACTGCTCCACGGTTGCAAGCCTGCCTCATGAGTTGGAGGAGAAGGCAGCTGGAATACAGCAGGGATCTCTAATTCAATGATGGTTGGAGGAATCGCTCAGGATAGGAGATGTGTGCTGAACTTAGATAAAGGACCAAACATGATGGCCTTAGTATCTGTATTGCAAACCATATCTTAGTATCTGTATTGCAAACCGTAATACCCAAAATGACAGAGAGAGTATTGGGAAAATTGTCTGCCACAGAGGCAGAGGGAGGGATGGGATGGGGCGGGGGCCAAGGGGAACTGGGGACATTGGTGGAAATTGTGTACTGGTGGAGGGATAGATGTTCAATCATTGTATGATGGAAACTCAAACATGAAAGCTTTGTAACTGTATCTCACGGTGATTCACACAAAAAAAAAATCATTAAAAGAAAAAAAAAGATGTATAAGAACTAGGAATCGTTTCATTAGATTCTCAAAGATGGATTTCTTCCCACTCCAGAGACCATCCTGCAGGGTTCCCAGAATGCATGACCCCCACCCACAAGGCAATGAATACTAATATTGACAGATATAAAGAACCCAAGTTCTCAGAACACAAACTGGCCCCTGCCCCCTGAATGCACACACCAAAGGGAGAAAATGCTCTAGAGACACAGGCTGGCCAGAGACGCCTCACACCCACCCTCCAGTCCTGTGTCTGCACTACTAAGAGCCATGGGCTCTTCCACAAAGCCCTGCCCAGAGCAGCAATCCACGATTCAGGTCATGGGCGAGGTTTCCTCAAAAAGCATCTCCTGGAAGAAACTAAATTATTCATCATCAATGAATAATGGCCCAGGAAGATTAGAAACTAAAAATAGGGCAGCGCTGGCAAGTCTGAGTGTCTCTGCAGGCCACAGTCCCACTGACTGGACTACATACCCACCTGACAGCACCCACCCACCCCCCGCCGCTGAGCACAGAGCCAGGAGTCAGCAATGAGCACAGCCAGGTGTGACCGGGAATCGAACCTGAGCATCCCAGCTTGCAAAGCCTGGGTTCAGGCCTTTCGGCTCTTTTTGACTTTTTGGATCACACCTGGTGATGCTCAGGGGTTACTCCTGGCTCTGCACTCAGGAATTACTCCTGGCGGTTCTCGGAGGACCATATGGGATGCTGGGGATCAAACCCAGGTTGGCCACATACAAGGCAAACTCCCTCCCCACTGTACTATCGCTCCGGCTCCCCATGCAATTTTCTTTAAAAAAAAAAAACTATTTCACACTTCCGTCCTTTCTTAAGTTCAGTGGAATCCAAAATCACATATGTGACATAAAGGGACAATGGGTTCATTTATTCATGGGGGGAGGGGCAAACTCTCAAGTGAGGCTCAGGAGGTCCAGTGCCACCCACTGGTGATTCTCCATCAACTTCAGACACTTCTATACAAGGGGACAGGGAGGCCTTGAAGCTTGTGTCCCAGAGTGCTGGGGATTACCGCGGCCACCAGGACCACACCTAGCAGGGCTCAGGGGAACAGGTAGTGCTGGAGTCAAACCCGGGTCAGGGCACACTAAGAGCTGGACAGTCACTCTCAAAGGCCTGAAGCGGGGCTGGGGACTGGGCGGGGTGGAGGGGTGGGGCCAGCCCATGCCACCCCAGCAGTCACAGACCCCCCAGGTGCCACCAGGAGTGAGTGCCAAGTGGCACACTCAATATAGCCCATATTACAAAGTTTATATACATAGAATTAGCAAAAGAACAGTCGTGGAGTATTTTCAGGGCTTAGGGGGAAGCTGAAGTAGGTGAGAACATTTTCTCTCACCAGAATTCACACCCCTCTGCAGCTCACAGGCTTGTTTCCTAGAAGTCAGGAGGCAAGTTTTTCTTCCACAGTGTCCTGTGTGTGAACTCAGTGTGACTCTGGGAATTTTCCCTCTTTTATTTCAAAGCACCTGGGCACTCTGAGGCCAGGTGGCCTTTCCTTAAGGGACACCTTAAGGACACCCTGTACGGGCCGGTGGCCGCAGGTCTCAGGCCTGTGTGCCCAGCAGCGTGGACGCTAATGCACCCCAGACAAAAACTCACTGCTGGCCGTGGGCTACAGTTCGCCAAACTCTCGTTCACATCAATCATTCCTCCACCCCAGCCTTTCACACAGGTCTGCAGGAAAGCACATAGGACACAGGCCATGGAAAGGACCCACGCAGAGCTGTTCTGGCTGGGAAGAAAGGAGGGAGTTTAGGTCTCAGCTTCTCCACCAGCAGCCCTGGGGCACCAGCTCCAAATCCCAGGTTACCCTGTGCCCCCTAAAAATCCCAGACTCCCCTGCACCCCTGAAAATCACTGAACTCTCTGCCCTGGGAGAAGGAAGCAGCTCCAGATAAAGAGGCTGGAGAGTGCCGGAGTGGTAGCACAGTGGGGAGGGTGTTTGCCTTGCATGTGGCCAACCCGGGTTCGATTCCCAGCATCCCATATGGTCCCCAACAATTCTTAGAGTAATTCCTGGGTCCAGAACCAGGAGTAACCCAAAAAGTACAAAAAAAAATTAAAAAAGGAGGTGGCGCTTTACAAAGTTCGCGGGAGAACTGGGCAGCAGTAGAAGGCGGGCAGCAAATGACAGGCCCAGTAGGTCTGTGGCAGAGACAAATGACCTGCGAGTGTTAAGGGAATGGAGCGGTAGTACAGCGGGTAGGGCAGTTGCCTTGCATGTGACCGACCCAGGTTCGATCCCCAGCATCCCATATGGTCCCCCAAGCACTGCCAGGAGTGATCCCTGAGCGCCGGGCCATGAATAAGACCAGACATTGCTGGGTGTGGCCCAAAAACCAACCACAAAAGAATTTGAAAGTCTAACAAGCTTCAAAGTGATGCTGTTGGTGCTCTAGAAACCACATTTTAAGGGCCACTAGTGTGGATTTACGAGGGGCAATTCATTTAATGCAATTCGGTAAGAAACTGCCAGGCACTTAACTGATGATGCTAAGAGCTACTGGAACCCCAGGGAAACCCCAATATACAGTATCTCAAGCTGCCCTTCAAGGAAGGAAAGCCAGGGACCTTCCCTGCAGGGTAGAAGAACACAGTGTCACAAGAGAGGGAACATAATTCAAAGGAGCAAGAGCACATCAGGTCTGAGGAATCCGGAAAGGTGCATCCAGGACGGAAGTCGGGGGAGTGGCAGGAGCCAACAATCTGGACAGAGGGAACAGCATAAAGAGGGTGAGAACAAAATTGTCGGGGGGAAGGGAGAGTCAGGGGACAGCCACGTCTGTGGAGAGTAGAGGGTGCGAGGGCAGAGCGAGGCCTACCGTAAGGCACCCCCTGAGTTTCGGGGCAAGGGCAGAAAAGAGATGGTCCTCTGAAATAAAAGACAGGAAATGCAGGATTTAATAATAATGAAAACAGACACCCAAGGAAGTAGTTCTAGTCAGGTAAAGGCATGTACAGATAGAACCTAAGTTCAAAATAATATTCAGTCTCAATCAGAGTGAGGCTTAAGTGACAGAGCAAACATTCCCCACTGCAGGTTTCTGAGAGGCTTCCAGTCAGGTGAGGAATATATGTGTATGTTTAGCAGCCAGTACAGAGAACCCTGCTGCCTTTGCTATCATTTTTTTTTTTTTTTGCTTTTTGCTGTTTTGCGTCAGACCTGGCGATGTACTGGGGTTACTCCTGGCTCATGCACTCAGGAGTTACTCCTGGCGGTGCTTGGGGGACCATATGGGATGCTGGGAATAGAACCGGGGTCAGCCACATGCAAGGCAAACGCCCTACCTGTTGTGCTATCACTCCAGCCCCATGCCTTTGCTATTATTTCTCACCCTATGTTAATATTACTAACATTCTGATCATCTTTGAATTAGCTGAGTATGGACTGTTACTTAAAGCCTGATCTCCTATGAAAAAAAATCTACGATAATCTCTTGAATATATTTTTACAGCATCCAATAGAACAGCCAGCGCCTAGGATCCTAATCCTAACAGGGCCTGAACTGACGTCTTTTAATGCACTCGGTACAGGTGAGACGACTTTGGAAAGTCAGAGGAGGTTGGCTGTGGATGATGCTAAGGAAGGAAGCCCCCGAGAGCTCCTGGGGAAGAAGGGCGTCTGTCTGCACAACATGAACAAGATGAACTGGCCTTGTGTTCAAGTCAAGAAAAACGAGTGGACGGGGAAAACAGACTACAAATGCCTAGTGGCCCTGGGCAGTGGGCAGTGGCGCAGTGAAGGTCCCTGGGGGTTGTGCTGGGATAAGGCAGCTATTTTCTGTACATCAAAATTATAATGAGTGATAGCACCTAGTACAATTTTTAAAAAAATCAATTTTATAAACTGCAGTAGATGTTTCAAATGATTTTTTTAAATAGGGCCTTCCCTGTCACAAATGTCAGCAAATAAGTGCACCACTAGTTCGAAGTCACACAAACAATGAAAGTTCATCTTAAAAAGTAAATAAACCTAGGGCCAGAGTGATAGCACAGCAGGTAGGGTGTTTGCCTTGCACGCGGCTGACCCGGGTTCGATCCCCGGCATCCCATATGGTCCCCCAAGCACCGCCAGGAGTAATTTCTGAGTGCAAAGCTAGGAGTAACTCCTGAGCATTGCTGGGTGTGACCCAAAAAAAAAAGCAAAAAAAAAAAAAAAGTAAATAATCCTGTGGAATATAAAGTAATATAATATGAGACTAACACCTAAGGACAGTAGAGACAAGGGTCAGAAAGATTGCTCCACAGCTTGGAAGTCTGCCTCACAAGCTGGGGGAGAAAGTAATTGGGATAGAGAAGGGATAACTAAGTCTATCACAGTTGGAGGGATCATTCGGGATGGGAGATGTGTGATGAAAGTAGATAAAGGACCAAACGTGATGGCCTCTCAGTCTCTGTATTGCAAACCATAACGTCCAGAAGTAGAGAGAATGTAAGAAGGAAACTGTCCACCATAGAGGCAGGGGGTGGGATGGGATGGGGGTGGCAGGAGGTATACTGGGGACATTGGTGGTGGAAAATGTGAACTGGTGGCGGGATGGGTTTTTGATCATTGTATGACTGAAACTCAATCATAAAAGCTTTGTGACTCTATCTCACAGTGATTCAATTAAAAAATTTTTAAAAAAAATTTTAAAGTTAAATGATCTTAAGTGAGGTAACAGTTTGAGAATCATGTTAACAATTTCTAGCACAACTTTCATCATAATTTTTTATAAAAAGTCAACTTGGGGTGCAGTGTGCAAGGCCCAGGATTTGCATGCAGCCAACCAGCACCCCCAAGTGTCCCCTGAGTCTAGCACGAGTGACCCCTGAGTGCAGAGCCAGAAATCAGCCCTGACCATCGCTGAGAATGGTCCCAAAACAAACAAAGAAAAGACCACTTAATGCACAATAATAGCTGTGTTCACTTTTCCCCCACAGGGTTTTGTTTTGGTTCTGTGAGTCAGCTCACTTTCCACTGCAGCCCTGACCCACTGGACGTCCGCAAATGAGTGACCTGCACAGCTGCCCGGTCACAGAAGGGGGCCCACCAGGAAACGAAAGACCCAGAATAGACACGAGAGCCCAGTCAGTCTGTAAAAACAATTCCGACTAAGAAAGAGGCACTGAAAGATTTCCAACAGCAACAGCTCCCGCTAAAGAAACTCCCAGAAACACAGCGCAGTGCCTTTCTCTGCCTTCCTAAAGGAAAGAAACCCTCAGCACAGTGCACACAGACCCCGGCAACCCTTGTTATACCGGGTTCTGGGTTTCCCGTTCACAGAGAGACCAGCTCCACGAGTGAGAATGCAAAAGCAAAGGAACCTTTATTGCTAGCTCGAGCTCAGGTCCAGGCCTCATCCAATGCAGCGGGAGTCTTGACCAGGACCTTGACTCCTGTTCTGGAGGACATTATAAAATATATCGTTCCATAAGCAATGTTGGCAGTTTTCCCAAGAATTGCCACAATTTATTCAGTCACAAGTCTGTGATCTAATTGGTCTTGCTCACCTGCTATGCCCAGAGATATCCTGCTTATCATCCTGGCTAGAGGTGTCTAGGGGATTTCTATCTTCAGTCAAGGACAAACTCAGGGAATTCTTTGGGGGGAAACAGAAACTTAGGCCCACTGCTTGTTTTGCTCAAGTGCAGCCTGTCATGGTGCATGTGAGGTTCTACTCAGTCTCATACCCTGAGATGCAGTGGGAGTACAAGGGTCAAGGGCATCCCCCACAAACTCCCCGTGCCCTGAGAGCTGGACAGACCTTATCTGCCCTCAGGTAGCCCAGAGATTCTTCCCAGGAACTGCCCGCCCCACCCTGCGCCTCCTGTGCAGTTACCTGCAGGGTGAGCTGCCCAGGCCAGTCATTTCTAGACCAAAGCATCTTTCTTTGTGGAAGATGCTATTTACTCAAAATGATCTTACTTTCAGTTTCTTGGGACATACCCAGAGGTACCCAGGGCTTACTCCTACCTCTGCGCTCAGGGATGACTGGCAGTGCCAGGGATTGTACTGGGGTGGGTGCAAGACCAGCAGTACCCCTACTCTCTCTCCAATCATGGGAGTCAACACCCTTGGCCACTGCTCTGCTCCTTCTCAGCAAAGTTTCTCCCCCTGGCTGTTCACCGCACTTGCAAACACGCTGTCTTCCTCCTCCTGTTCTGTCTTTTTGTTAAAGAACCAGGTGGAAATCTAAGACAGGTAAAAGTGAATTTCTGCCTCTCCTCCAAGAATCTTAAGGAGAACAGAGGAGGTGAAGCAGGGAAACCAAGGGCTAAATCACTTCTATGTAACCCTGGGTCAGAAGTACATTCATTCGACCAAACAAGACCCAAGGAAATACATCTGTCTAGATGGATAACAATTTTGGACAGAAAAAATTTATTTCCTCTGAAAATTTATCATCATAAGCTAGTATAAACTATCCCACCTATGATTAAAAATAAAAGTCCCCAGAGAATGTAAATTAAAATATCCCAGTTCTCCCAGAAACAGGCAAAAAAAGAAATGCAAAGTCTCTCTTAAGATTCTTCCTTTTTCCCTTTCTGGTATTTTAGGCTGCGCCCAGCAGTGAGAAGGGGCTACCCCAGCTCTGTACTTGGGGTCATTCCCAGCTGTGCTCAGGGAACCATGTGGTGTCAGGGATTTGAACCAGAGGCACAAATGCAGCAGCTGCATGCAAGGCAAGTGCCTTTCTTCCTATACTATCCCCACAGTCCAGCAAGCGGCTTTTAAAGCAAACTGAAGAGAACCTGGCAACTTCTGGAATAAAACTGTGAATGAATGAATTAAAACAAACAAACAAAAACTAGAAAATTAGCATTCTGGAAAACATCCTCCCTCCCTCCCTCCCTCCCTTCCTTCCCTTCCTTGCCTCTCCCCTTCTCGTCTTCCCTCCTTTCTGGCTGTATGCCAGGGATCATTTGTGGCAGGGTGGGGTTAACTTCAGAGCTAGGAGTGCCCTCTGAGCACTGCTTGATGTGACCCTCAAAGTCAACAAATAAAATAAAGATGAAGTGTTTCCAAAATAGGATGACAACTTAGACCAAAGGTGGTGCTTGGTACCAAACCCAGGTCGGCTGCGTGCAAGGCGGGTGTCTGGCCCCACCCTATCCTTTCACAGCCTTCCCCTGATGGCCGATGACTGAGACAGGTGTGTTAACAGTCTCACTAGAAACAGAAAAGGAGGAGACCCCCCCACCCCATGAAAAGGCACAGAAAGCAGCCAGGAAAGAGGGAGCATTAACTGCATGGACCATCTGTGTCCAACAAGGCCAAAGAGTGGTTTCGATGTCTCTCTTCATCTTCAGTGACAAAAGTAAGGGGAGACAAGCAGAGATAAAGTTCTTCTGGGGGACTCAGCCAGCATCCAAATTTCCAGGTAACATCACCAGGAAGTGCGCACACTGAGGTGTGAATTCCAAGTTTGCCTGACTTGCAGCCACCCTGATACCTCAGGTCTCAAGATATAAAACCTGCCCTGAATTCAGACCTTAACAGCCCTCTCCCTCTTCTGTTGACAAAAACTGCGCTCAACAAGATTCTATCTAGTCACTTCTCCGCGGGCCTCACCTCGGCTTCTGCAATCATCCTTGGCACAAGCAGTCTTAGCGAGCATCCTCCTCAATTAGGATGAAGTCAATCCCTGCTACCTTGGTGGCAACTTGTTGCACCAGACTCCCCCTTCCAACTCTCTAATACAGGCATGTGGAACGTTTTAACAAGGACCACAGGTTCTTTCCAAGAATGCTGTATTACAATTTTTTTTAATTTGTTGAATTATGATTATTGGGCTATTAAGAAAAACGGGTGCTGTCAAATAATGCAAATACTTAGTGCAAAACTGAAGAAGTTCTGGAGTGAGCTCCATCCCATTATGAAAAGGACCTAGAACAGAACATTCCTCTCACGTGCCTGCATCCTGCTATCAGGTGATCAGGTAGGCCTGGCATCACACTGTTGTGGGGACACACACAGACCACAGCTGTAGTCCCAAACAAGAAAATGAATGCTTTAAAGCAGGATTTCTGGCATGCACTAAATCTCCAAGAGCAATGACGATAAAAGCCAATCAACTGTTCCTGGAAATGCCCTAGAGATTAATACAATGATTTTTCCCTTGATAAGAGAAACTAAATTAAGATTAACAGATTGTGTTTAGGACTTTTATAATGCCCCATGAATCAAAAGAGTCACTCTGAGATGAAACCTAAAGTATGTATGTGCATGTGTGATGTGTGGATGTGAGAGTGTGCATGTGATGTGTGTATAAATATTCTCAGTAACTACCTACCTGTTTCTCCAGCTGTTTTATTCTTCCCGTGGGGCTTATAGAGAACATATGAGCACCCTTTCACATGGAAGTGGTCATTAATTTGTCTGAACCACCTGAAAAATGAACAAGAACAGGGCTGGAGCGATAGTATAGTGGGTAGGGCATTTGCCTTGCATGTGGCCGAACCCGGGTTCAATCCTCGGCACCTCATAGGGTCTCCTGAGCACCGCCAGGAATGATTTCTGAGTGCAGAGCCAGGAGTAACCCCTACGCACCTCTGGGTGTGACCCAAAAAGCAAAACAAACAAACAAACAAACAAAAGAATAAGAAGACAAGAATGGGGCTAATCCAGTGGTGGAGAGATTCATGCAGAAACCCTGCCTGGGTGACCATGAGATACGAGGTTTGCTCTTGAGAGGGCCGGAGTGACAGGACAGCAGGGGGGCACTTGCTTTGCAAAGTCTCTCACCATCCCATGTGGTCCCCTGAGCCTACCAGGAGTAATCCCTGAGGACAGAGTCAGGACTAAGCCCTGAGGAAAGCCAGGTGTGGTCCAAAAACCAAATCAAAACAAAATTAATTAATGAAAATGAATTGAGAAACCAAATATTTTCTATCAACTCCCCAGAGCATTATTTTGTGGATCTAGAGACCAGGCAATGCCTGTGACCAAGGGCTTTACCTCATCAGCGTCGTGTTTCCCGTGAAAGGACCAAACCGAATATCCTCAAACGGGGGCTGAAAGCCCAAAATATGCAGAGCTTCTTCTTGAGTAATAGGTGGAAGGCTAGAAGAGAAAGAGCTCCCTTCAGTACACAATGCTCACCAGAAGCAAGTAACCATTCTTTCTTGATGGACATGGGTAATTTTGGTTTGGAAACAATTTTTGCCATTTCTTAATTTATAAAAAAAAAATAATAATACATGCATGTATTTAGAGCTAAGTGCCCCATCCCAAAAAACAGCAGCTTTTGTTTTGCAATTCATAAATAATCTATTCTTACACAACCCAGATAGCTTTCCAATTGGGGATACTTGTAAATCGACAACAGCACACTTACTTTCCAGTTCCCATTGTGCTGTACAAGAAATTCCAGCAAGAGACTAAAGACGAGATCCCACAGGAAGTCTTATACTGTGGCCGGCTGATGCAGTACCTGGGAAAACAAAACACGTGTCTTGATTTGAAAGAACACAAAAAGACAGAGAATGAACACTGCAGCTGAAATCGCTACCAGAAACGTGAACCTAGATTTTTTTTTTTTAATCGAATCACCGTGAGATAGTTACAAAGCCTTCATGTTTGAGTTTTGGTCATACAGCGATCCAACACCCATCCTTCCACCAGTGCCCATTCTCCACCACTAATGTCCCCCACACCAATCCAACCCTCCCCCTGCCTCTATGACAATCTACACCATACTTTCTTTTGGATTGCTTGTCATGAATAGCTACTGGAACTCTAAAATTTTAGATAATTAGGGTCTGGAAAAATCTCTGCAGCGTGCTGTTCTGTTCCAAGATTTCTTTTGTGTGTCTCTGGACCACGGCCACTAAGGAGCTTCAGTAGCAGCCAGAGGCAGTTTGTGGGTGTGACCTCCAGGGTCCCAAAGGGAAAGGGGAGATGAGAAGGATGAATTCATCCCCTATCCCTTGAGACCTGGAGTTTGCCATCACTGAGCCTGTGTACCTGCACTTCTCACTGAGTTCTGAAAGTTGGCGGCCGCTGGGATTCTTAATGGGCAGGTGGAGGGACAGTGCCTGCTTCTGTCTGAAGCATTCCTATGAAGTCGGCCTGGCGCAAAGTCCGGAGGCATCTCTGCAGCAAGCTGCTTAGTTCCGAAAGTCTTTTGTGTATCCCCAAACCCTGATCACTAACCCCAGTGTAATCTCTTTTGGAGGAGAAGGAGATGGTGCTCAGCGAGGACTCCTGGCTCTGTGCTCAGGAGTCACCTGGCAATGCTTGGGAGACCATTCGCGCTGCTGAGGCCCAAACCTGGGTCAGCTGCATGATGCACTGGCCCTCCTACCTCACAATCAAAGGTTTCTATTCACTGGACATATTTTATTTAAGGGCTAGTGCGAGAACTAAATGGGCGGAAGTACCAGCTCTGCTGAAAACTCATCCATGGGGGCAGAGAGAAAGAGCTCTGCATGCTGGAGGCGCAGGGATGCATGCCAGCCAGCACTGCACGGTTCCCCTGTACCACCAGGTTTGACTCAAAACACAGAACACACACACACACACACACACACACACACACACAGAAGCAAAAAAATCACCAGTGAGGGTTAACCTGGGGGAATGGGGGACAGGGCCTGACCTGAATCCTTAGCCTACACTCCAAGACATAAATCATGACTGATAACATGAAGTGAAATTGGGGGAGTCGGAGAGATAGAACAGTAGGGAAGGAGCATCCCTTGCATGCAGTCAGCCTGGGTATGATCCTGCGAACAGGTGTGATCCCTGAGCACAGGAGAAAGCCCTGACTGAGCACAGCTGGGTGTGTCCTCTCCATCTCCCCCAAAAGAAAAAGAAAGTTGAGTCTGGTTGTAGTGTGCGACCATAGGATCTGCTGTCTGCTGTGTGAGGCTGGGCAGGGTTCTCGGCTTCTCTGAGCCTCGCTCCAGACACACAGGTCTGGACCTCTGACAGCAGATTACTGCCAGCTGTCTAAAGACCTTGAGACAGGGCCAGAGCACTAATACCGCAAGTAGGGCTTATGCCTCGCACGAGGGTGACCTGGGTTCGATCCCTGGCATCCCATAAGGTCCCCTGTGGGAAGCTGGCCCTTTAACTGACCAAGGGCCTACGTGCCTGTGCTATGTATGGTCATCTTGACCTACGTGACCCGCAGCAGGCAAAGCCTGTGCTATGTATGGTTATCTTGATGTATGGTTATCCTGATGTATGGTTATCTTGAGAAAACATCTGTCATGGCTGTCAGTAATAACAAGAAGTAACTGACAGTGATTAACCTGGTATGTGAAACGTATAAACTTTGTAAATCATATGGACATGACCCTTTGTGTAACTACCTCGTGTCTGGTACGTGAAATGTATAAACTTTGTAATGCATGGTATGTGAAAACGTATAGACTTTGTACCTTCCTAACCATATATGGACATGACCCTTTTTGTGTAACTGCATTGTGCTTTTCCTGTACTGATAGGTATTTAAGCCCCTGCTGCCCTGAATAAAGTCCTGTCCTGTCCTATCCTGTCTGCTGTCCTGTCTGCTCTGTCCTGTCCCTTTTTCTCTGCATTATGTCTCTTGTGTCTTGTGTTCATTTGGTCGGTCCCTCCCTGCACCTACGGACCCTAGGGCCACCTCCATGGTCCGGAGGATTGGTCTGGAGGGGCCCCCCACAGTCCCCTGAGCACCACCAGGACTAATTCCTGAGTGCAGAGCCAGGAGTAACCCCCAAGCATCACAAGTGTGGCCCAAAAAGAAAAAAATAAAATAGCTTGTTCTTCCTATCCCCAGTGCCCACCCCAATTCAGACACGGCCAACCCCCCCCCCCTCCGATGCGCTGGGAAGGCCCCACAAATACTGGGGACAACTCACAGGGAAACACATCAGGCCAATCTAGAGCCCTCTGGCCACGTCTGTGTCAGGGCAATCTAGAACTCAAAAATGGGGCGGAGGAATAAAGGCTGTTCCAGGTGAAGCCAGACGCGGGGCTCGGAGATGGGAGCAGGGCAGGTGGGCAGAGCTGGGTCCCAGAGCTCCCCATCCTCTGAGGGGTTCACATCACCTGGCATCACCCCAAAGCAGGCACTCAGGAAGCAGTGCTCACACCGTCACAGAGAAGAGGCTGGTGGGAGGAGAACCCCAGGCAGGCTTACCAGCGTCTGACGTCTAAGACTTTCCGTTGCTTAATATCCTCGACGGGAGAATGCTGGTGCCAGTCCCTTGGGTGTCTTCCCTTTTTGTCTGAGGTCTTTTTCTTGGAAATTTGTTTCTTTGCACTGCCTGGAATATGAGAGTGTAAAATAGGCCAAAGAGGATGAAGCGAGCTGCAAGGCATTCAGGGACAAAAAGTTTCAAGTCACCAAAGCAGGTGCTTCAAGTGCTCGACAAACACATGGAAATACTCTTCCAGAACATGCTTCTACCTTCAAGGGAGGCGAGAAATTCAATTAACCAGCCGTGAATTTGATTTCCTAGAGGATTCTCCTCTTCTCATTCCTTCAGCGAGTTACTTAGCTAGTAAAAGAATCAATCACAAAATCTTTGGCCACCATCGAGGGGATCAAATTACCGACAGTATAAAATATTTAGCTCAGCCACTGTCCAGAAGAAAAATGAATCCTCTCCATAGAATCGCATTAAAGCATGACTCTGTTAAGAGAGCAAATGCGCTCCATGCAATAATGCGGTGAGGTGGGGCTTAAAAATATCCCCAGGCCCACAGGGGCCACAGAATGGACTTTAAATGAAGGACTGTGGATGTGATCTGAGACTGGCTTCAGGTACTAGCATGGAAAGCAAAGATCTCTTTTCCTCGAATATGCATGTCTGTGTATGTGTGCACAACACACACACAAGCACACTTTCCAAAAACACGCTTTAAGTCGAAGAGCAGTCAGGAGACAGATCAAGGGTGATGAAGGCTACGCTGTGTGCTATTTTATTTTATTCTCTTTTATTTAGTTACTCGGCTGGAGCAATAGCACAGTGGTAGGGCGTTTGCCTTGCACACGGCCAACAGGGGTTCAATTCCTCTGTCCCTCTCGGAGAGCCCAGCAAGCTACCCAGAGTATATCGCCCGCATGGCAGAATCTGGCAAGCTCCCCGTGGCATATTCGATATGCCAAAAACAGTAACAACAAGTCGCACAATGGAGACATTACTGGTGCACGCTTGAGCAAACTGATGGACAATGGAAGGACAGTGGACAGTGTTTATTTAGTTATTTTGGGTTTGGGGCTGGCTCAGCTGTGCTCAGGGCTGACTTCCAACTTAGTGTTCAGGAATTACCCATGGCAGGGCTCAGGGGATCACATACGGTGCCAGGGAGCAAACCTAGGTTAGCCACATGCAAGGCAAATACCTTACCCACAGCACTGACTGTCCAGCCCATGTAGTTGATTCTGAACCATGCTAATGATGTAAATTAAAGTATTAACCAATAACATACAGGCGTCAGTTCACCAAAACGCCATCCACATTTCTAAGAGTTAAGCAAGAAATACTGTAAAATGTTTTATTTTATTTTTGTTTTTGTTTTTTGGGTCATACCCGGTGATGCTCAGGGGTTACTCCTGGCTCTACACTCAGGAGTTACTCCTGGCAGTGTTCAGGGGACCATATGGGATGCTGGGAATCGAACCCGGGTCGGCCGCGTGCAAGGCAAATGCCCTACCCGCTGTGCTATCTCTCCAGCCCCACTGTAAAATGTTTTAAGCAAAATAAATGTGCTATAAAAATGAAAAGAAAAGGAGCCTGAGAGATAGCACAGCTGATAGGGTGTTTGCCTTGCAAGCGGCTGACTCGGGTTCAATTCCTGGAACCCCATATGGTCCCCCAAGCACTGCCAGGAGTGATCCGAGAGCACAGAAGCCAGGAATAAGCCCTGAGTGCAGCTGGCGGTGCCCCTCCCCCACAAAGGGGCAAAAACTAAACCATAAAAAAAATACAATCAAGATTTAAGATGCCCTGAGGGCCAGGGTCTGTCCTTTACTCCAAACCAATGAATGGATGTCAGAACAGAAAGTGAAGGAGCACACCCAGCACTACTGAAGCGGTATTTTGGAGCCCAGCCACCAAACTCCAACATCCCCAGAATGCAGCATGCAAGAAAACATGATGTCATAAAATAAAAAACATGACACATTCTCAAGAAAACTCTACAGCCAAGTCTGGATGACCCGATTTTGAAGATGAGGGTTTTAATGAGTTGGAAAACTATCTTTATGAGAGAAAAATCTGACTGGTGGAGACTGTTCACCCCAACCCCAATCCCCGGCTCACACAGAGCAAAGACTGCCACAAATACCACAGATCGGGGTGGGGGTGGGGGGAGGGTGAGGTGGGAAGGCGCTTGCCTCACACTTGACCCAACCCAATTTGAACCCTGGCACTGCATATGGCTGGTCCTTCATCAACGCCAGGAGTGATCCCTAAGCTCAGAGCCAGGAGTAAACTCTTGTGGGAAGCTGGCCCTTTAACTGACCAAGAGCCTACGTGCCTGTGCGGCTGACCTGACCTACGTGACCCTCAGCAGGTGAAGCCTGTGGTATGGCTATCTTGATCTACGTGACCCTCAGCAGGTCAAGCCTGTGCTAGGTAGGGCTATTCTGACCTACGTGACCCTCGACAGGTAAAGCCTGTGCTTTGTATGGTTATCCTGAGAAAACAATTGTCATGGCTGTAACTGACAATGATTAACTTAGTATAAGCCTTGTAATGCATGGTATGTTAAACTTATAGACTCTGTAACTTTCCTAACCACATTTTGAGCACGACCCTTTGTGTAGCTGCCTCACTATATATACCCCCATCACCCTCAATAAAGCCTGTCCCTTTTTCTCTTTGTTTCTAAGCTGCATTCTGTCTCTTGTGTCTTGTGTTCATTTGGTCGGTCCTTCCCTGCACCTACGGATCCTAGGGCTACCTCCGCGGGCTGGAGAGTGGTCTGGCGGGGCCCCCCGCAAACTCTGGGAACCACTGAGAGTGGCCAAAAAAAAAAGAAAACAAAACAGAAAACAACAACAAAAAACACAAAGAGGAGGAGGAGAAGGAGGAGGAGGAGGAGGAGGAGGAGGAGGAAGAGGTGGAAGAAGAGGAAGAGGAGGAAGAAGAGTAAGAAGAAGAGGAAGAGGAAAAGGAGGAAGAAGAGGGGAAGGAGGAGGAAGAAGGAAGGAGAGGGGAGAGGGAGGAAGAAGGAGGGGTAGGGGAGGGGGAGGAGAGGAGGAGGAGGAGGAGGAGGAGAAGAAGAAGAAGAAGAAGAAGAAGAAGAAGAAGAAGAAGAAGAAGAAGAAGAAGAAGAAGAAGAAGAAGAAGAAGAAGGAAGAAGGAAGAAGAAGAAGCAAAGAAAGAAACCCCTCAGATTCATCACATGGTTAATTTTGCTAAAATAAACATCAGGCTACAGAAATTAATAGTACAGGATGTATAAGGCGCATGCCCTGCACGCAGCAGAACTGGGCTCTATCCCACCAACCACATCTGGTTCCTCATCCCTCCTAGGACTGCTCCCTAAGCACCATCGGGTGTGATCCCAACTTTGGAAATAGATAAGCAAAATCTAAACTCATTGACTAGTTACAGCTATCTTTAAGAGATGCTCTTTGAACATAGAAAGAGGCTGGGGAGGAGGAGAAGGTGGGGAAATATTTGTATCAAGTAAACTCTAGTTACTGGGCCCGCTCTAGCAAATCGGCAATCAACGGGAGGGCCTTTACCTTTACCTTTACCTAAACTCTAGCAAGGGCTGGAGCGATAGCACAGTGGTAGGGTGTTTGCCTTGCACACAGCCAACATGGCCGACTCGAGTTCGATTCCTCCGCCCCTCTCGGAGAGCCCAGCAAGCTACCGAGAGTATCTCGCCTGCATGGCAGAGCCTGGCAAGCTACCCGTGATGTACTCGATATGCCAAACACAGTAACAACAAGTCTCATGATGGAGACGTTACTGGGCCCACTCGAGCAAATCGATGAACAACGGGAGGACCATGAAACTCTAGAAAAAACATTTTCACATGTATCTCAAAGAGTTCTAACGGGTAGAATAAGGGGCATTTGAGAATAATAAAAGTCAATTCACAAAGAAATAAAAATGCTAAATGCATGAGTGCCTAATAACAAAGCTTCAAATGAAAACTAGAGAATTAATGTCTTCTGAAAAAGCAGGACAAGTCTGCAATCACAAGAGGTTTTTAACAGCCTGTTTTCAGCAATGAGTAAAACAAGACAAAGTTAAGCAGGAAAATGGATGCCAAAAACACACTGAAATACTTTGACTTAATAAGCATTTCTGGAACAATATAACCAACAACTACAGAATCCAGCTCCTTGCATGAGAATGCACAGTGCTTTCGTCAACCTCACGGTGTGCTGCGTCTGAAGCTGACCCTATCCACAACACAAAGAAATTAGAAATCGCTGCTTATGAAAACCCCAAACATCTGAAAATTACCTAGCATGCTTCAAAATGACCAGAGACCATAAAACCCAGCTCCCGAAAGCGTGCGGCCACATTTGCGGCTGCGCGACATCTTATCATCTCATTCCTACTTTCAACAAACTGGCAGGCTACCGAATGTAACCTGCCCACACAGCAGAGTCTGGCAAACTACCCGTGTCATACCCAATATGCCAAATACCAGTAATACTGATGGGTCTCATTCTCCTAACTCTGAAAGAGCCTTGAATATGGCACTTTTTTAAAAAATCTCCAGGCTAGAACGAAGGAGACCTTACTGGGGCCTGCTCGAGGCAATCGACAAATAACGGGATGGTTGTGCTTGTGATTGTGATGCTTCAAAATAATGCATGGATCAAAGAAGAACTCACCAGAGAAATTGGAAAGTGCGTCAAATTACACAATCGAGTGGGCCCAGATGTATGCATCCAGCAAGAGCAGGAGTTCGAAAGAAGCTGTTCTGAGCATGAGAGGCCCCTCACGGGAGAGTCTGGGATCAATCACCAAAGCTTCCATTTGCAGAACTTAGAAAATGACAAAGCCAACTCAGAGCAGGAGGAAAATAAAAGAGTAGAAGGAAAAAAAAAAAAGAAAAAGAAAACAACTGAGGAAAATGAGAGAGAAAAGCTGGTTTTTTTAAAAGATGAAGAAAATTCAATGCCCTTGCTAGACCGATAAAACAAAAAGAAAAGAAGGACATGAATTACCAGGACCGAGAAAGAAAAAGAAGTTATCAGTAAAGATGGGTCAGATATTGGGGCTGAGTGGTCAGAGGGGAGCTAAGGAGGTTCATCTGCACGCAGCTGCTCCCATTACGAGGAATGAGCCCCAAGAGTGACCCCAAGAAAGGGCAGCTCAGATAGAGAAGGAAGCACCAAATAAAGGGTGTTTGGAGGATCCTCCCAGGAGGGGAGATGCATGTTGAAAGTAGACTATGGACTGAACATGATTGCCACTCAATGCCTCTTTTGCAGACCACAACACCCAAAAGGAGAGAACAAAAGGGAATGCCCTGCCACAGAGGCAGGGTGGGATGGGGGATGTGTGGGAGAGATACTGGGATCCATGGTGGTGGAAAATGAGCACTGGTGGAGGGATGGGTATTTGATCACTGTATAATCGAAACCCAAGCACAAAAATTTGTAAATCTACAACTGTGCCTCATGGTGTTTCACTAATAAAAATTAAAAAAAAAAAGAGTGACCCCAAGCACAGACAGAGGAGTCAGCCCTTAGTGCCACTGGGTGTGGTATAAAACCAAACAAAAACAGAAAAATAGACCCCACTGGTATTAGGACATAGAAGGGTACAAAGAAACTCTCATAAACAACTGCATGCCAAGCATCACCACCATCCTAAAGAAACGGACAAACTCAAATCCGACCAAATTCACAAGCATCAAGACCATCTCATCAACATCGAGATCTTAATGGGTAAAACAGGAAGAGAAAAACAGTTCCCAGGCTGTCTGAGAAACCAAAATAACACTGACTCTAAAATCAGAAAAAGACATTAAACATTCCCCACCCCCCGCCAAAAAAAAAAAAAAAGACATTATCAACCCCTCATAGAGATAGGCACAAGCTGAAATTCCCTTGCCAACCTGAGACTTACTAATGCACCTCACACGCTAAGAGACAGGAAGACGTTACAAAGGAATGAGCCGCCATATGGAGACATCAGCGTATCTGCGAGGAACAGCTGTCTAGATGTGCTCAGCCGGGTACTGCTCTGGGACTCGGAGCTTCGCTTAGAAAACAGGACTCAGGGGCTGATGTGATAGTCCAGAGGGGAGGGCATTTGCCTTGCACGTGGCTGACCTGGGTTCAATCCCTGGCCAACCATATGGTCCTCTGGACCCCCAAGAGTAATTCCTGAGCACAGAGCCAGGTGGAAGCCCTGAGCAGCACTGGGTGCGGCTCAAAAACCAAAACAAATAAAACTAAAGGTTTAAGAACAAAAAAGAAGTGGCAATGTTGTACAGTCGAAAAGAAAACCAGATCTTCAGTTAGAAAACATGAATTCATGTCCTTGCAAACCTATGCAACAGTATTATGTCATCCTAGTCAGCTTATGAACCACGTCTGGGGTGCCATCTGGAAAGCCTGGATTTCACGGCATTGGGGGCTTGCAACGCTCTCAAAACACAAGGATTATGGGGCTAGAGCAGGGAGGGAGGTTGTATCACATATGGCCGAACAAGGTTTGATCCCAGACATCCCATATGATTCCCCATGCACCGCCAGGAGTAATTCCTAGGTGCATAGCCAGGAATAACCTTCAAGCATCACTGGGTGTAGCCCAAAAACAAAACGAACAAACAAAAAACTCCAAACCAAACAAACCAAAAGATAGAAATGTTATGAGATCTACAAAGCAGCCCTTGAATGAACAGCTATGTTGAAGGTTACTTCTATTTTATTTTTTTCGATATGCCAGACACAGTAACAACAAAGTCTCCAATGGAGACGTTACTGGGCCCGCTCGAGCAAATCGACGATCAACGGGAGGGCCTTTACCTTTACCTTTTACTTTTGAGGCCACACCTGGAGATGCCCAGAATAAAGGGACTGTTCCAAGTTTTGGACTCTGAGGCTACTCCTGGCGGTCTCTAGCATGCAGAGCAGGGATCCCAGTCTGTGGAACCCTCTGCCCATCCAGATTACGCACTTTTTTTTTCTTGGTCACACCAGCAATGTTCAGGGTTACTCCTGACTCTGCACTCAGGAATTACTCCTGGAGGTGCACGGGGGACCATAAGGGATGCTGGGGATTGAACCCGGGGTGGCCTCATGCAAGGCAAACACCTTCCCCGCTGTACTATCACTGCAGCCTCCGGTTTCATTTTTAAATAGAGGGCAGGCTATTTTTAACTAATAGTACTGTTCCTACCTGAACATCCTAAAAGGCAAACATGTTTACTAACTCACTTAAACAGGATATGGGATTTACCTTATTATTTCTACACCCCATCTTCACGGCCCCTTCTTTACCTGATTTGTGTTTCAAGTTCGAAGTCACTCCATCAAATTCCGACTTATCAATTTCCCATGCCAGAGGTAGCTTGCCCAGGCTACTGGATAAGTTTTCCAGGCTGTTTTCTTCATTGTGGATGATTCCCGGCGTATTGGCGGAGATGCCGACGTACCGTGAGCCATTATTTCCAGCAGAGAGCGAGGTACTTTCAGGGAGGCAAGAGGAGGGGCTGGGATTCGGAGTTTTGTAGATTGAGGTCGCCTGGTTGAGGAAGGCATAGTCTGAGCAGATGGCGTAGATCTTCTCCCGAGTGTGGGTCACTGGACAGCTCCATGGATAGTGACCATCTCCCTTGGGACCCAAGGGTGCTCCCGAGGCACGAGAACAGAAAGACTGCAGAGCACTGGGGAGATTCTCTCCAGGAGACTGACTCTCAGCACAGTGCTCACCATGGCCAGAATCACTTGCTCTTTCTGGTTCAGCCACGTTAGGCATTGAACGGACTGGTCAAGGTTCTCTTAGGAGGAAGAAGCTGCAACTCTCTGCTATTTGCCGAACAAACTGAGCGCTGTTTATAGCATTCTACAAACACTCAAGAATGACAAAGGGACTTCTGGCAAAAAAAAAGGAGGAGGAGAAAAAAGAAGATCAGCAATTGGCTAGACACTACAAACGGCCCTAAAAGTCTACAAGGTGTTTCCCTGCCTTTGATTCATTCAGCTGTAATCTATTACTATAGATCAGTCAGGATCTGCAGGATCAATAAAAACTGATTTTTAAGATCAACAGCATTAGAACAATAAAAAGACAACCCACAGGCCGACAGCATGAGGGTAAGATGCTTGCCTGGCATGTAGCTGACCCAGTTTTGGTCCCCATCACCACCAGACATGATCCCTGAGCAGAGAGCCAGGAGTAAGGCTTGAGCACAGCTCATTATGGCTCAAATGACAACAATAAAAGCAGGACAGAAAGATGGCACAGTACATAGGGTGCTCGCCTTGCAAGGACCTGACACATGTTCAATCCCCGGCACCCCATATGGTTCTGAGTTCTGCCAGGAGTGATTTCTGAGCAAGAGCCAGGAATAAGCCCTTAGCACCACTGGTGCCCCAAAACAAAATAAAACAGAATATGAAATTAAAGTTTTTTTTCTTTTCGTCCTGTATTCTCCCATTCAACCTGGGCTGCCACCATATGACAGGCAGAAAGCAGAAAGTCACTTTTTTTTCTTGCATCCCTGGCACCCCTTATAGTCCCCTAGAGGCCACCAGGACTGATTCCTGAGTGCTGAGCCAGGAGTAATCCCTGAGCACCTCTGGGTGTGGCCTAAAAACAAACAAATTCAACTCTTTTTTTTTTTAAAGACAACTAAGTTAAAAAGTGAGAAAAGTAGCTGAAATCATTTCTCCAAAGATGATATAAAAATGGACAACAGGGGGCTGGAGAGACAGCACAGTGGGTAGGGCATTTGCCTTGCACGCAGCCAATCCGGGTTCGATTCCCAGCATCCCATATGGCCCCCTGAGCACCGCCAGGGGTAATTCCTGAGTGCAGAGCCAGGAATAACCCCTGTGCATTGCCAGGTGTGACCCAAAAAGCAAAAAAAGAAAAAAAAAGAAAAAATGAACAGGAGGTGCATGAAAAGATTCTCAACACCCTTCGTTATCTTCGTTATCAAGGAAATGAGCATAAAACTGCAATGTACTAGTACCTCCTACCTGCCAGAATGGCGAGACTCAGAGACAGATTAGGGAGCAGAGGTAGGACCGCATGAAGGGCATTTGCCTTGCACAAGGTCAACCTGGGTTCAATCGCAGCAGCCCATACGGTCCCCTGGGCACCACCAGGAGTAATCTCTGAGTAGAGACAGGAGTAACCCCTGAGCACTGCCGGGTGTGCCGGCCCGCACTCCCCGCCCCCCCAAAAAAGACGGATTATAACAGGTAACTGGTGGGAATAAGATGTAAGGACATTCTGCAGACATTGGTGACTGAAAGAAAAATGACTCAGTCACTTTGGAAGAGTTCCTCAAAATTTTAAATATAGAATTAGCATATGATCCAGCAACTTCACTCCTCAATAAAGACCCGAGAAATGGAGACATATGTTCACGCAAATGTTCACAACAGCACTATTCACTTTCACCAAATAAAACCAGCAAAGATCATCAACAGAAGAACATATTGTATACTGACTCTCAGTAAAATCCGGGATAAGTTTGGAGTGGCATAAAAACTTTCTATTTTGAATCACTATTTCTGGAAACTTCCCTCTGAAAAATGGCGTCATCCTACCATATCATAAAACAGCATCCAATAGGAATAACCAAGTCGTTAGGCCAGAAAATACTTTTTGATTATCTAAGTAACTAGAGTATACAAAAATAGGGCCAAAACATCAAAAGATAATATACAAGAAATGAAAAGGACCCTAACTCCTGACCTGAGATTGCACATGTGCATTTTTTGTTGTGGCCCGTCTGGTAGAGTCTGATGCGACTGTGCTCTCAGGCCTTCTAAAAAGCAACTAAGCACAAGTCAGGATGGAGGAGGATTCTCCTCGACATCCACGCCAGCGTCCCTTGCTGTTGTAGCCTATGGAAATGACAGATTTCCAAGGGTTCTGGTCCCCATCCGTGCCCCCGTGAGCTGGACAAGTCATCCCCAATGCCTTCTCTCCTCTTGGCTCACCACCCCAGTGCCTACCCCGGTGTCTTGGAGTTTACATTTCTATTCCTATTGGTACACAACATTAGAAAAATAAATCTAGGGGCTAGAGTGATAGTCCAGTGGATAGGGCTTACCAGGTATCCCAAGTAGTCCCCAAGCACCACTGGGAATGACCCCTGAGCACAGAGTCAGGAGTAAAACCCTGAGTATTGCCAGCTATAGCCCCAAAACAAAAAATAATACCTGTATGCCTACAGGAGCATACAACTCCCATGCTTGACACTCAAGTGCCACATTCTTCTCTCCCCAAGTAGGGGTCTCTTCTACCCTGCCTCTCCTCTCTCTGTACTGGGACCCCTGACTGCCTTACCCCTCTCCCACTAACGCTCCTCTCCTAGTTCACCCCTGGCGTCCGCAGAGCCCAAACTGGGGGCTGCTTTCTTGGCAGCTGGAGCCGATTCAAAGCTCTTGCCAAGGGGCAGTTTTTCATCCCGAGTGTGGTGAGCACTTGTGACTAAATGTCAGTTTTCTGCGACTCGGGATTTCCCAACCATTGCATCCCCTAGTATGTGTAGAAGCCCTACTGACAAACACTATTTTTAACTGCCTCCATCATGCAGGTCTCTCTGATGCCCCTGTGGAGGTTCCCGGCTTGCAGAGAACTTGACCTAGAGTGGGTTTGGCACCTCAATGGCGTGTGCCCCCAGAAACCCAAGTCTGCCCTGCGGGGTTCTCCACAGTGAGAGCTCAGGTTCCCTAGTGCTAATCATCACGGTTGATCTGGACTTATTTTTACCAGGAAGAGTGATAGCAGGACCTAAGGCTCAGTTTAATAATTTATTGGGGGGAGGAGGGGAAGGCTTATGTCCTGTCCCACCCAAGTATTCCCGGAATGCAATCAAAATGTTAGCAAATGCACTACTACCCTGACAGAGAGTTTTAAGTCTAGGAAAGGAATAGATCTATAAGGCAAGGATCCAGGTACAAGGCCTAGCATAGACATGGAAGAGTTACATTCTTTTGCGAAAAAAAAAATTTTTTTTAACGTATCTTTTCCAAATGATCAGTTCGGCTTACAGAAATAATAATAATAATAATAATAACAACAACAACAACAAAATAACCTCTTTCAAAGTCTGTACAGTCCATCCACCCTCCTAGAACAATTATGATGATGTTATAACCTGCACAAACGGTCTCTGAGAAACTGGGGCAGGAAACTGACTAAGGCAGAGATGCGCCAGCCCTGACCAGCGCGCAACGCAGCGGCCGGGCCTCCTCGTCCCGCTCCCCTGCCCTCGGGGCCGCTTCCCGGGTCACACCTGAGCAGGGGCAGCGATCCCAGGAAGGATGCGGGAGTCTCCGGCGACAGTCGCTCAGGCCGGTCGCCGCCGAGACGCTGCGTCCCAGCGCTGGGGCAGCCTCCCCGGCCCGCGCCCCCTCGGGAGGGTCCGGCGCCCCCCCGCCCGCGCTCAGCGAGGCCCCCACCGGGCTTCCTCTCCCCGCTCCAGCCTCCAGGCTCGGCCCGAAGCTCCAGATGGCCGCGAGCCGGAGCTGGTCGAGGACCTGGGGAGTGACCGCCTCCTGCAGGCCAGGTCCCCGGGGGGGCGCGCCGGACTACGCCGCGCTGGGCTGCAGAATTACCCCTCCCCCCACCGCCAAAGGCGAGTCCCAAACCGAGCGTTTGAACGCACCAGTCGGTTTCTTGGGTAGCCAGGACTGCAAAACCCAGGACGCAGGAAAACCCGGGCCTGCAGGGACCAAGGCTCGCCAAGTCGGCGGAGCTACCCTGCGCATCGGGGGCCACCTACAAGGTCGAAAGAACTAGGGAGGTCTCAGTCTGGGTCTGCCTGTCTCTCCGGGTGACCACCGGCGCCCCCATCCTCCGGGGTGCTCGTGCTGGGACTCGGGGGGCAGCCAACGCGCGCTCAGGGCCTGAGGCCTGCGTAGCGCCCACCAGCATCCGCGCACCCCCCCAACGTCCCCCCTCCCAGAATCGAGCTTTGTTCCCGAGCCCGCGCGTCCCTTCTTCCCCCTCGAGTGCCCCCAGAACTTCGCCCCACTTTCTCGGGATGATGGGCACCGACGCAGGGGCCTCCACTCGGGCAGCCGCGGGACTCCAGGGAACGGCCAGCGCCCCCGCCGTCCTCGGCGTCCTCGGACACCGGCGGCCAAGGCACAGCCAGGCCCGGCCACCCCGTCCGCCCCGGCCCACCGTGCTGCCCACCTCTGGCCACGCTCTCGGGGGCGGGAGGCCGCGGCTGCGGCGGCGCCGGGCCCAGGCTCCCGATGGCCTCTGGTCACCCAGGGACCGGCGTCCGGCGTCCCATCGGAGCGCGCGGGGATAGCGCCCGGGACGGCTGCACCCGGCGAAGGGCCGGCAGCTCTCATGGACAACGCCTTCCTCTCAGGGCGTGGGGACCCCGCGGCCCCCGGCACACGCGGGTCGGGGGGCGATCGCCGGGTCTGCGGGCGCGCGCGCCCCTCCCCGGGGCATCCGGAGGGTCCTTCTCGCTCCCTGCCGGGCCGGGGCCGCGCCGAGGAAACCAACTGGGGAGCCCGGAGGAGCCCCCGCAGGACTTCCGCTCGGCCGGCCGCCGAAACTACAGGTCCCAGGGAACCCCGAGGGGGACGCGTGTGCGCCCCGCCAGCCACTGGGAACGGATCTTACTCAGCCCGGCCCCGCGCAACGCCCAATCCGCGCGCCCCGCACCCGGGGCCGCCGGCCCCGACGCCCGCGCCCCCCGAGGATGCTGCGGCCGCCAGCGCCCCGCAGACTCCTCCCGAGCCGCCGCGCCTTCACCCCCGGGTGCAGTGCCGCCGCGGGCATCCCTCACGGCCGCTAGCCCACGCCCGGGTGGTCGTTTCCCCTCCCTGCGGGTGCTGCAGACCTCTCGGATCCCCGCCGTGGTGGCCGCCGCCGCGGGTGACGTCCACCGGCGACGCGTCACTTGCCGCCCGGATCCTGCGGCCGGCCCGTGTCATCCATGTCCCACCTGGTGCTGCTCTGCTGCGGGGTCCTGGGGGCAGCGTTGGCGGGGGCTCGCGGGGAGGACCCGCTGAGCCCCGAGAAGACCCAGGTATGGGGGCCCGGCTTAAACGCAGCCGTGGTGCTCCCCGCGCGTTACTTCTACATCCAGGCTGTGGATGCCTCGGGAAATCGGTGAGCTGACCATCGCGCCCCCAACTTCGGGGGGGGACACAGTTGAAAAGGGAGGGGGAGGCCTCCCTTCGAGTTTTATCCGCCCGAGAACTTATTTCTCCATTGCACTTAAAAAGCCAGGATCTCTGGGTGGGTGGGCGGGCTTCCCAAGTCATTTCCCTCTGTAGCCCTAGATTTTAAATCAAGTCTTCTCCTGGTTGTTTGGAGAGAGATCCGGCATCTTTGCATCTTTAGGAAAGGTGCCCCCTTTCCTGCCTAGGGGTAGAAAGGAATTTCCAACGTGATTTTCCCAATCTTGGTTGGTTTCATCTTTCTCTGGAGCCGCTATTTGGGGGTTTATATCTACTGGTAAGCGTGTTTGAAAACTTAAAAAGAAATAAATGAAAAATGGCACATATCTTTAGAGGGCCTGGGTCTAATGTGGATCTTCTGTGTGTTTGGAAGACAGATGCTAATGTCTTCCGTTGAGTCTGGCCATTTACCTTACCCTTCAGACTTTATCTTGATCCTTCACCAGAGTTATCTTTTTTAAATTGGTGAATGCTGACTTCAGAGATTTTGTAAGGAGAAATTGTCTTGGGAGTAAGACGTTTTCCAAAACTAGAGAAAAGGAAAGTTAATATGTTGTCATTGGCTATAAATAGTTCAATTGAGGAACTGGAATACCGTCATAAAAATCCTAAGAGCCAGGACATGGATCCAAAGAAAAATTTCCCATGATGTCACTCAGATGGAACCCTCCATACTGGCTTTCATCCATGACTGTGAGCATGATTTGTAATGTGGATTTTTAAAGGAATAGGAAATCTTTTCCAAAGGACCATTAATTTGGGAGGAAAGGTTCTCGGCTCTGTTCAGGGGCCACTCCCTGTACAGTGCTCATGGAACCATGCAGTAACAGGGATAAACCTGAGGGGTCCCACATGTGCTCTGGCCCTTTGAACTATCTGCCTTGCCAAGAGACCATTTTCTTTAGAAGGAACATTTGATCACAAATTTCCAATTGGTTTATGCCTGAAATAACTCATAGATTAAAAATATTATTTTTATGTACTGAATGCATATGGGGATGAGCAGTCCTTCTTTCAAATAATTGTTTATTGCATATATACTAAGATTAATTAGAGATAACTCTAGGGCCAGAGATGTAGGACAGCAGATAAGATGCTTGCTTTGTACCCAGCCAACCTGGGTTCAATCCCTGGGACTGCATATTGTCCCCTGAGTCCTGCCAAGAATGAGCACAGAGGCAGGAATAAGCCCTGAGAAGGAAGGAGGGAGGGGGGAGGGAGGGGGAAAGGAGGGAGGAGGGAAGAAGGAAGGAAAGAAGGAGGGAAGGAGGGAGGGAGGGAGGGAGGGAGGGAGGGAGGGAGGGACAGAGGAAGGAAGGAAGGAAGGAAGGAAGGAAGGAAGGAAGGAAGGAAGGAAGGAAAGAAGAAAAAGTAGCTCCTACCCTCAAGGAAATTGTTTTAAATTTTTGTTTGTTTACTTAATTGTGATGACCACTCTGCAGTATGCAGGAACCACCAGGTCTCACTCTGCAGTGCTTCATGGGCCAAGCAGTGCCAGAGACCAGCCCACTCACACATGCTACACACATGCTCGGCCACTTGAGCAACATTCCCAACCCTGAAGGAACTTTCTTCTGAACGGAAACAGGCGTGTATGAAGGTCACTGGGCATGATGAAGACAGGGCTCTGGAGATAGTCAGATAGCGGTGCCCTGTGCAGGTGCCAATCACTGAACGGTCAGTTTTAATCATGACCATATCGTGTGGCCAGTGGAGGAGAGATGAAGAAAAAGCATATTTTTAAAGTAACAAGAAGGCAGGTAGAAACGGGTGTTTTTGGATAGAGGAGCAGTTGAGAGCAGATACAGGACCACGTAAAAGCACAGACTTACATGAGCATGGAGGCCAAGGCAGATGTTATACAGGAAACTGAAGCCAGGGGCAGGGATGGTGCTGTAGACAGAGGTGGAAACAATTTTCATGTTGTCCCTTCAGTTTGTTTTTTAATACTTTATTTCAATACCATGTTTGCAAATTGTTTATAATACAGTTGTTAGTGGCTTTCAACACTAATCATACCAACACTAATCATACCAGGAGAGTGACCTTCCCACCACCATTGTCCCCATTTTCCCAACCACCCCCTAAGCTGGCGTCCTTAGCAGGCACACGGTAATTAATTTTATAGTACCTGTTACAACTAAATAGATGATGGAGTTATCAAAAACACTTCAGTAAAATAAAATGCATGAAAATTGTTATATCTGATTGCGGGTTGTTGCTAGTTGAGCCTTCAGTGTTAATTCTGTCTGTTTGTCGAGTTCAGCTGGCTTCGGTGTCACTTTCCCATCTAATGTGGTGTGCTCCTACTGGAATATAAGTGCTGTGGGATTTGGAGGTGTGGTGCAGCCACAAATGTGGCCACAAGGTCCAGAGACTTCAAGATCTATGGTCTGGGCCAGTGAGTTGACACAGCAGCACTAGGGGAGGTGGACATGGCTGCCGGGGCTTTCAGAAGAATGGTGGGGAGTGGGTGGCTGGTGGGGAGACTGCCTGGCCCCCACTCTAAGAAGACCCCAGAGTTCTCAGCCCAACAGTAGAGGGCCTGGGGTTTTCGCAGCTTGGTATCTGCAGGGACGATTTGTGAAGCAGTGAGATTGGGCTCTCAGTGTTAGTGCATTTGGGGGTGTGGTTGTGGCTGCTGGCCTTAGCAGGGCTGGGATCCCTTGAAGAGTGCCCCAGAGTTTTCAGCCAGAAGACTAGTGTGTCCAGAAATTTCAGCCTCTCGGCTAGCCTCTCCTTGGAGATTTTGTTCATGATTCTGAAGAGTAGAGCTGGTGGGAGGTGGCCGTGCCATTTTCTAACAAAACTTGTTTGTTCATCTGGCCCTTGCCATGTTGTTTATGGTGATGAATGTTCTCTGAGCCAGCCTAGCCATGCTGGTCCCAAAGCAGAAGCCCATGTGGGATACAAAGACTCAGACTGGGGCAGAATCTATGTGGGTGTGATGCCCACAGTAAGTTCCTTTTGTCTCCTTTTAATATCCTTTTGCCCAAGTGTCTCATTCCTCTTGCCATCCAGATTGACATCTTCACCTGGTGAAAAGGTGTTCCAGGTCAAGATCTCAGCACCGGATGAGCAGTTCACGAGAGTTGGCGTCCAGGTTCTGGACCGGAAGGATGGCTCCTTCATAGTGAGATACAGAATGTACGCAAGCTACAAAAACCTGAAGATAGAAGTCAAGTTCCAAGGTCACCATGTGGCCAAATCTCCATATATTTTAAAAGGTAAATATGTGGAACAGGGTTTGGGGGCAGGTAGAGTGCATGCCTTGCACACAGCCAGCCAGGGTTCAATCTGCCCCCTGTATGTGCCCCTGAGCACCACCAATAGTGAACTCTCAGTGCAGAGTCAGCAGTAAGTCCTGAGCACAGCTATGGGTGGCCCAAAAACCAACACACACACACACACACACACACACACACACACACACACACCTCAGTCAGTGTATTATGTTGGTACTGGTGATGACTTACTCTTTAAGGAAAGTAACTGGGACCTTTTGAGACCTTGCTTGTATAAGAGAGTTTAAAAATATTCATTTCAGGGCCAGAGTGCACAGTGGGTAAGGCTCTTGGCAGGCCATGCACACAACCTACCCAGGTTCTATCCCCTGCATCAAATAGCACTTCTGAGCACCCCCAGAAGTGATCCCTGAGCACAGAGCTTGGAGTAAACTGAACAGAAGTGGTGTGGCACCAAAAAAATGGAAGGAAGGAAGGAAGGAAGGAAGGAAGGAAATATTTCATAATTGTCTTTCATAGGTATGTTTCTCCAATGCCTTTTTACTGATGTTTGATTATTCTTAAATTCACAAGGCCAAATGAATAACAGTCACCATAGATTTTTTTTTTTAAATTGTATACTCAGTTGCCTTCTCTGAAGTTTCTACAAAGTGGAACATACCACTTTACCGTACAATGCTTTTCAGATAGAAGGTTATCAGGTGAACACTGGCAAAGCATAGGTGTCAGAAAAATTGTATGCCTGAAACCTTATCACAAATAATTTTGTAATTTCACAGTGACAAAAAAAAATAAAGAAAAAAATAGAAAGCTGGCTTAGTCATGGTGTGTGAGTATAAAAGAAGTATTTTTATTGTAAAAATTTAATTTGTAATGAATGCGCCCCCGTTCTAAGGATGTAAAATGCAGGAAGCCCCTTTTCTGTTTGTTTGTTTGTTTGTTTGTTTGTTTTGAGGGCCTCACCCCAAAGTTTTCAGAGCATACTCTTGGTTCTGCCTTCAGGGGAGTGTGTTATGTGTTGGGGATCGGACCCGGGTCGACCACGTGCAGGACAGACACCCTCGCCGCTGTGCTGTGGCTCCAGGCACCCTGCATGAAGCCCCTTGCAGGAGGTTTGCAGCATGTCCCAGTGCTGACAGCGTCATTTGTCCC